CAATCAGGAAGAGATACCTGGTAAACCGCAAACCCTTAAAAAAACTCATGGGGTACACTCCAAAGTACCCCAGAGGCAGTGCCACGATGTGATCCGTCGGCTTTGGTTCTCTCACACGTCCATATGGGTCGAGAGGATGGTCCTTGGCGAGGTAAAAGTCTGTGGGGGGGGGGGGGGGGTTAAAACTTTTTGATTTATAAAGCCATTCCCTCTATTAGAGTTTGATTTTAAACCTTTTGAGAGGTTATAGAATACACAATGGAAGTCTTGACCTCTTTAGAACAGTATGTTTACACACTTTCCGGTTAGAGAAAGAATGACTTTCTATTTATGGTATGTTGAACAAAGATTGTTTCAAGGATCTTTAGATGTGGTATGAGTTCTTACAACGTTTGTGGAAAGCTGGAGGTAACCACAAATCTCACAAAGACACAGTGTTGACTGGATGATGCCTTACCAGATTGGTGAGCAACAGGCTGCTGCTGGTCTGGTTGAGGAAGCTCCTAATTAAAGAACTTGAACTCTTTGTTATAGGAGATATAAATGGAGTTCAAAAGGGGTGTAAGACATTCTTTAGAAATGTGTATGGATTAGCTTGCTTTGGTGAGAACAGTCTTGATAATCGTTATGTTCACCTTAATTGGGTATACAAACTAGGTTTGTATTAATGCGGTTGAGATGAATTTAAGAAAGCTGTTTGTTGAAAAATACACTTCTAGGACTTGAGATAGTGGGTGTGTGTTTGGGTGAACTTGAAAAGTAAGTGACACCGTGAGTTATCCTGGTTCAAAGGTGATGTAATCCTCCTACATCCACCCACATCTAGCCTTGATCACAGGCCTAGATTGACAAATTTCCAAGAGGTGTATAACATCACTCCAAGTTACTCTATCCTTAGGTGTTTCACTAATGAACCCAACTGATTCAAAAGTTACTTAGTCCGATTCTACCCACACTTTAGATACCTTCCAAAGATTTTACAGTTTGTCAATTACAAAGTAATTCTAACCTTCCAACTTAGATTAAGCTCTAAAAATATATCTTTGTATGAACTAGTCTAAGAGCTTAAAAGTGTGAGTGAGCTTAGAGTGAAGTGATGGATTCAAACTTTCTCTTTGCTGGATCTCCGTATGAGCTTGTGTTGTATGATTATGTATTTATAGACCATTTGATGTTGAATATCCCCCGTTGGCTAAGTAGATTCAATCTTCACCGTTGAATATCCCACTTGGTTTGACTATTGAGGAGCATGAACTTCTTTTGTCTTCATACGGCCTATTGAGGAGCATGGACTTTTTTTGTCTTCATACGACATGCATGCGACCCTTTTTGTATTTATATTTATTGTAGTGAAGTATTTTGAGGAGTATGGGCTGTATATACAAAATCCTTCATCGTATATTCCTTTTGATTTTCAGACAATTTATTCAGTCACTCATTTAATACTTTTACTGTTTGAGGGTCCCATGCAAATAATTTTTGGCAATCCTTTCTTTTCAATAATTACGAGGTCTTAAAAAGTATGTAAATGCCATATACTTGTTTGGATCTCAATGTGCATCAGTTATTTCCACGACCTTTATTTTTACTTTACCTTTTTAAGAATTACTGTGGATCCCATCAAAAGTGACTTTTTTATTTTGACTCTGATGCTGGAGAGAAAGTTGTAGAGAAAATTTTGGTGGTTAACTTTGGTTTGACTAGCGGGGTTTGTTTCCGAGTGTGGGAAACATGCTAGTCCTGGTCTTTGATAGCCGACTTATGAAATTCACTAGCAGGGTGCTGGTGAAATTAAAAACATCCAGTTAACTATTTTCGTACCTATTCTTTTTCTTTTGGTACGTTTTTCTCTTTTTAGTACTCTTCTTTTTGTTTTCTTTTTGTATGCGTATTTTTCTTCTTTTGGGAATTTAAAACAACAGAAATTATAAAGTACATCAAACCAAGCTTCTAGTCTAATACAGGTGAATCATCAAAATACAGAGAGACCTAATAGCCGACATACATTTGTGCCACGTGCAGGTCACTCGGCGTATTCTCCAATCGAATGATGAAGAGATTCTGGTAGTCCAGGCTGGATAAGCCCGGACCCATTCCCCTATGCCGGCTCGTCCCGTCCGTTGTCTTCCTATTTCCAACCAGCTTGGCCCCACGAACAATCTCGGGAAGCCTCACCAACTCCCCGAGAGCAAATCGTGGCAACCTCGACCTCAGATCCTTCGCGGTTGTCTGCAGTACGATACTCGCTCGTATTCTCCATCTTAACATTGAAATCCTCCACGAGTTTCAATGGCACCTTTGGCCTCTCCAACATCCTCCTCCTCAAAGTTGTAGTACTCCTCGGCCCCAGACTCAAACACGACGGCTGGAGACCCAGAGAAATTTTGAGAATTAGAGGACGTCATACTTTTAAAGCGGGATCTTTAGGAGAACTACAAATATATCTATGGGAAGGTTTTCACTAACACTAGACCTATCAGCTAAGAAGCAAAGTACAAGCAAAACACGAAGAACAAACAAAGATCTGACCTTGTAGTTTTGAAGGATGCGAATAATCCTTTATCTCTCTAGAAATTTCAGCAACATTTCATTACAAATCAAAGGAAAATGAGGAATGTCTCATCGAAGGTGGGGTATTTATAGGTGACCCCCCAACAGACACTACACATGTCACGTTCCTAGTGTGCACATAAGCGGTTGTCAAAATCCTACCCACTTTGCGGGTACCACCTGTCCAACTTCCACATAAGGATACACAACACCTCACAGTTCAAACCTTGGCCATGAAGCTAAGTGCAAGATACACACCGGCCAAAGGATTTACGCATCATGACAGCATGCCTAACATCGATATAAACTTCCAATGACGTACACTTTTTCTCGTCTAATGTAAGGGAATGCCAAATCCACATCTAGCTATTTTCCCCGGCCTCCTAAAATGGGGAGAAATTTTTGAAGAGAGAAATGTGCCTCGAACAAAGCCCGAAACGTGCCTCGAACAAAGCCCGTAGGTGATAACCTTTAGCCAGCAACCTTTGACAAGGATTCTCCCACAGGATTGCCTTGATCATGGTTTACTAGAAAGGTTGGATCCACGAGCCCACTCGTAGGTAGCACCTTGGCTTCAAACACATGACCTACTCCTCGACCCGACATTAATCTCAGCTTGACAGAGTGGGGGACTGTGGGACTCCGCCTCGGCCAAGGATTGGCAAATTCAAAAATTATCCACTAAGGGAATTTCGGCCACAATATAGCACGTCTCGGCTAAGGACGGAAAAATCAAGCATTTATCTAAGATCGAGAAAACTCGGAACCCGCCTCGGCCACAAACAAAAAAATTTAAACTACCCTCTATCTTCCTCGAAGTATAGAGTCTTCCCTCCACCATTTTTAAGTTCTAACACCTTCATGTAGCAATCTATCTTTGCATGATGCTTTTCAAGCCAATCCATGCCAAGCATAGCATTAAACTCCAGCAAATCTAATGGTATAAAGGCACCCATTTGACGATGCTTCCGTATCTCCACATCACACGAAGGATGGTAATTATTCCATTCAACGTCATCCCCTAGAGGCATAGATACCAATAAGGTTTGTGTCATTGGTGTCAAAGGTGTAGCAAATCCCACGATGAACGCCTCACTAACGAATTAATGTTGCGCCCCTGTATCGACAAGGATCCTCACATCCCTTCCGTTAATCTTTAGTGTTTGAGATCAAGCAGAGGTCCAATCATGAAAGAACAGGAAAAAAAATCAAGTTCGGGGGCCATGCATAGCGTGCGTGTGGGGCGCAAATATAGTATTAATAATGTCATGTTTATTCATATGAAAGTGTAATTGCGACACATGGTGCTATTTTAATGGTACTAACTTCATCAAGATGATAAAAGTATTCCCTTGCAATTCAAATACAATATTTATAATGCCATTTTCCAATATAAAAATGCCATTCCCATTAACAATGTCATTTTTATGGCACTACTTTGCTTTGTTAAGATAGGAATATAACTATTATTTTAACTTTTTTGAGTTGCAATTCTTCTCATTTTGTATGTCATAATTTTTTATGTGAAATTATCAAGATGGCAATAAAATTATTATCCTATACTTTTATAGGGATGTCATTAAGATGACATTCCTATTGTAAGATGGTCGGCATCGGCGATGGTGCCGAAAGAGGCAAGGGTGGCGCCAATTCAGGTGCTAGTGAAGCAGATTTCAGCGACAAAAACGCCAACTAAGTCGGCTGGCAATGGCGGCAAAGATTGCAGCAACTGCAAAGATATTGGTGGTGGCAGTCACATCGGAGCACTTGTTTGATGCATTGTTTATGTAAAGCTTTTACTTTATTATTTTGTCTTATATTATTAGTAAACAAATTAGTATTAGTATTTTCACTAAAAGTAAATTTATTTACCCATGTCTTTTTGCTCTGGGAGAATTATGTACTTCCTCCGTCCTATTAGAGTTTTGTAAACTTTCTTTTTTATTTGTCCTAAAAACTTTAGGAATTTCTTTCTAAAGTCATCAATTAGTGCTTCTATTCATTTATTTCTCCTTTGCGCAAACCTGATGTGGGCATATTGGTTTGGTCTAATCAAACCAATCTGTATCAAACTGAAACTAAATCATATGCAAACGAACAGAAACTGAGAAAAATTGAACCGAACGAAATAAATTCAATAAAACCTTTAACCCATACTATCCTCCGTTTTTTAATCACAACATGTTGAATTTTACACTATTCACATGTTCTACTTTGACTACATTTTAAGATATTATTTTATAAAAATTATTTTTCTAAAATAATATTGTCCAATTCATCTCATTACAAATTTTCAAAATCTAATTTTTTTACTAATAGGGATTGAAATATAATTACAGTCGAAGACGTGCGTTGGCAAGTGTGAAATGTTGACTGTTTCAACTAAAAAAGAACGGAGGAAGTATATTATTAAAAATAAAAAATCCAAACCAAATTAAAAGAGAATGTGATTTTTGTTTGGCAATTAATCATTCTTCTCATGCTTTCTAAAAATGAATAAAAACAGAAACCAAACCCATATGTTCACCCTAACACAAACAACAACATAGTGTAGTGACATACGGGTAAACATAGTGTAGTGACATACGGGTAATATAGGATTTGAAAGTCTCAGTTTTGTAATGTATTACTGTTTCAAGGTATATAAAGCTAGCTATGTGCATATATTTCCCGCTATCTCTCTAGCTTCTTGTGCTTACATTTGGATCTTGTATCTCTTGTGATGAAGATGAGAAAACCCTAGGGAGCTCATCACCCACAACCTAAATTGGGCAAAGACAACCTCATCAACAAGTAAGCATCACAAGGGGCGCAGTTATGTATGTAAGTAAGAATACAGGCCGCAGGCCTTTTGTATCATATATACATACTCAAAAGATATATAGATGGAGATCGAGTGTAGCTAGCCGGCCTCTTTCTTCGATCGATCTTAGTGGTTCCTAGCGGCTAAGCTAGCTTGATTGGAGATCAGAGCATCATCATCTTCATCATCATCTATCATATCTTTGAGCTTTAATTAATTACTAGTAGTGGACAATGAATTGAATTCCTGTTGTTTTGTGTGTGTAGCGTATTCGTTGGATTTTTGAGCTAGAGAGATCGTGATTAAATAATTAAAGATCGACGGAGATTGAGAGGATGGAAGGAGCTGATGAGTACATAGCAGAGATGGATTCTGGAAACAGTGGGAGTTTACAGTCGTCGGGCGATGATGAGCAAAACATTCATCTCACAGCCACTCCAGACCCCCGGCGTGTTGCCGTCCAGCTGCTATTTGGATCCCTTCGCCGCCCTGTCCAGCAGCCGCCGCGTCATGCGGAAGAAACGCTCCCGGAGAGCACCCACCACCGTCTTAACCACGGACACCTCCAATTTCCGAGCCATGGTTCAGCAGTTTTATATGTATATTTTGACGCCTTCCCGATCAAATTTTGAGCTGAAATTTGGTATGGACAAAGTAGACTTGATGAGGAACATACCCAAAAAATTTCATCAAAATATTCCACCTGGAACACACGCACGCACACGCACACGCACACGCACACGCACACGCGCACACACACACACACACAAAATTCCGGTCAGGAATTTCTTGACCGGAGCCCCGTCCGGCCTCCTCCATTTGGGGGCCTTCCAGGTGGTATTTTTTGCTCAAATGTTATGTGTATGTTTCTCATCAAGTCTAGTTCATCCATATCAAATTTGAGCAAAAACTTCAATCGAGAAGGTCGTCAAATGTTTTTTGCAAGTTAACTAGTCCGGAATATGTATTTTCCGGACCACTGGGAAGGCCCCCAAATGGAGGAGGCCGGACGGGACTCCGGTCAGGAAATTCCGGACAGGAATAGCTCTCTCTCTCTCTCTCTATATATATATATATATATATATATATATATATATATATATAGCTGAAATTTAGTATGAGTAAACTAGACTTAATAAATAAGATTCTCAAAAAATTTCATACAAAAATTCTACCGGGAGCCACCTTTAATGGCACGTCCGGACAGAATCTTCTATATAAGAACTTATTTGACCCTTTTTTGCAATTTCGAGAACCAAACTGACCCTTTACTCTTTATATATCACATGGAAAATATACTCAAATGAGTTGAATCGGCTTATTTTGCCAAAATTTATTCAAGTGACGAGATTGGTTGATTCTATCGATTTACAAAAAAAATTATTTAAAATATATTATTTTAATAAAGTAGAAAAACAATTATATTTAAAAAATATCTAAAATGTTCCTCTACGACTACTTCAGCCAATTCAACCAGAAAAGTAACTTCAACCTTACTTATTTTGATTATTACACAATTAACATGCAAAATCAAATCTTACGTTTTTTTTGTGAAAAAGTTGATTGATAAGACTAATAGGTAAAAAATAGGGTCACCAAATGAACTCTTAAAATTTTCTATACAGGAGAGTGATCATGCAAGGTAGATCTTAGATGTACAATCTTATATTCTTATATTCTTATAGAAGAATTAGAGATCGCATCTTATGAGAACTAGATCTCAAACACGAGTGGGTCTTTGAAGATTCAACTAAGAGCTCGGGTATCTTAGGGAATGAATTTATTACTTTAATTTGGGTTGGGTGTTACTCTTGTTTATTTTCGTTTTATTTTCTTTTGTTTTTTCTTTTTTTCTTTTTTTTTTTTCTTCTCCTCATTTCCTTGTACTTTGCTCTTATTAATAAAGTTTCCTTTAAAAGAAGAAACAATTTAATGAGTTTAATGGCGAATTTGTATGCTCATTATTTTTTTGACGGGTATGCTCATTAATATTGATTATTGATTTTAGCCATTAGATTTAAAATAACTTAAAAATAAACGCTCCATACCCACTTATTCACTTTCAATACTAATTTAACGGTTGAGATTAATTCATTACTAAAATATATTTTTCTTTAGTACCACGCAAAACTTAATTTTTAACATGATCAGATTGAAACTAATCAATATATATATATATATATAAAATAGGAACTTTTTAAGAGCATACAAAGCGCCACATAATCCTGCCATGTCATTATACATATCAATTATTTAGTTATTTTTATACCTTCTATTTTTATTAGCTAGATTCTATTTTTGATTACATATTGATATGGAAACAAAAATCCGTAGAAATATACCTTAATTAATTTGGTAACTTTTTCAAACCCATTACGTAATTGAGAAGTATTAAATTCTTTAATTGGAACCACAACAATTAATAACCAAATCTTAAGCACAGACTCAAGGAGTAATCATCATTTTTATACTTTTTTTATTACATTCTATTAAAGAGATGAAGTATTCGTTTTTTGCCCACTTAACGGATAAATCAGCCAAATTGCTATTAATTTTTGTCTTCAAAGTAATTTGATAATAAAAATAAAAAATGTAATAATAGTGTCTCATTTCCTAAAATGTAATATTTTCTTTTTCCAAACTCAATGTTGAGATAATGATTAAAATTCTTTTTTTGAAAGAGATAATGATTAGAATTCTAAGCCCTGGATTTGCAATTGTGTTAATACTTCGCATTTTGCTCCATCTTCATACAATTCTTTCTTAATTATTAAAATAATGAAAAATTATAACCACCATATAATTGAAATTAAAAACGAAATTAAAACTATTACATATTCTAATATAGAATCTTAAAAAGAATACTTCTTTTAAATCACATTATATTAAACAGGTTCTATATTAGATGAAGTTTATATTTCTTTTAAATCACATTACATATGATCTGAAAGAAATCAAATTCAAATTAGGTAAATTAAATACTGCCCGTGCATCGCACGGGCTTGAAAGCTAGTACTTGATATAAAGAAGTGTTGAGGTTTATTCCTCCGAGTTTCAAGGACTCAACACCTTCCATTGGGCTTTCGTTGGATATTTGGATAGATTGGTTATATATGGTGGATGAATGAATAGTAATAAGGTACAAGTACTTAGCAAGACAAAAGAAAAACAGTAAGTGAACCAAGTTCTATTATGTAACTTAAAACAATTACAGCACACCCTATGGGTCGAGGGCCGAGCATATACTTCTAGCCGATGATGCAAAAGAATAAAGAGTTAAAGCTAGTGAGTACAAGTTGTCAACCCTTAACAATGAAATAAATACTACTATTTATACTATCATGAGGTAGGTGGTATTGATGATATAAGGAGGACAATGAATTGCTAATCCTCCAACCACCAAATCTTGTGTATCTAGTGCATTTAAAGTGTTTCCTGCCTAAATCATTGCTTTCCCGCCAACTATACTGAGCATATCGGGTGAGGCATCCCTGATTGTTGACTAAATGACACAGGAAATGGAGTCGCGCGACGCATGCCACTCGTGCTGGGCCGCCCAGCCTCTGGGCCTTAGCGGACTCTGGCACTATTCCTTCACGTGGTATTGATCCAATTACCCCAACACAAGCCCTCCACATCTGATGTTCTGAGCATGTGCGGGATATAAGGAAGTAGAAAGATTGATCTTGAATGGCGCGGTCCGATGCTCTTGTCCTCTTGATGCAGCATTTGTTGAGGCGGTTCCCGAGATTCGGGGTGGTAGTTTTTCGGTGGGCACTTCAATTCCCAGGTAACCGTAATGATTACCTGACTATTCATCTCTGCACGACACGTGTCATGGGATACGCTCCTCACCACGTGTCGCCTGGTGAATGGGCCTTTGGGCGGTGGATTCCGCTATAAATACCAGCTTTATGAGATGATTAAGGGTTTCCGAAATTCTGCTTCGCTTCTCTCTAGGGTTTTAAGTTCTCCTCTACGCCAAGAAGTTTCTTTTCGCTATTCCTCCGCCGCTCAAAAACATGTATTTCTTCTTCCCTTGAATTCTCTCTGCCTTAATGTCTAACTCCTCGGAACACGAGATGGCCCTCGGTCTTCGGGAGAATCCGGGGATCCGTCAGCCATTGGTGAGGAAATGGAGGATAGTCACATAGTCATAGACCGACATCATCGGCATCTTCCCGCACCAACCTGGATTTTATTAAACGATCTTGGCTCGGCTCGTTTTCACCCATATTAAGATGTGACTAATTCTTAACCTGAGGCTAATATGAAATTGTGACAAATATTAAAATTTGTTATGTGGCTAATATTTAAATGTGATTAATATTAACATGTACTAACATGTACTACGAAACAAATATTGAGATGTGTCTAAGTTTTTTTTTCAAAAATGTTACTAAAATAAAACTTATTTATACAAATATGACTAAATGACTAATAATTATTACAATGTAGTTTTATGATAACTTAAGTTTAAAAGCTAAACATATGTTATTATGATTTCTTTACTTCTTTAGTCACTAGTCACATTTTTATAAACAATTTTGTTTTAGTTATGAATATGTAATTATTTCATATTAAAATGTGACTAATATGAAATTGTGACAAATACTCCGTATGAAAGTTAGGAGACTCTTTGGTTGCATTAAAATTGATTCAATCAACTAATTCTGTTAAAATTGTTGAAGTTCTAATTGAAGTGACTAAATTGGTATAATGAATATGCTAATTATAAAAAAAAATATTTAAAATATATTTTATTAATAAAGCAAATAGAAAAAATATAAAAGAATAATCAAAAGAATCATCTACCGTGACTTCAACCAAATGCGTAACTTCAACCTTATTTATTTTGATGAATATACACGATTCAAAAGTTGATAAGTAACTCAAATCTTATTTATTTTGATTATGCACAACTCAAAACTTGCGCATTTGGTAACAGAATTAACTGATAAGGCTCATAATGGAACAATATCTTTAAACGTTCACTTTAAAGATATTGTGGAGTTCCTTTTTATATGTTAACAATGAGTTTAATGCACCGATCCCCCTCATGATATAGAAAGTCAGCGCATTAATCCCAACTGATTTGAAAAATGGCTCAAACCCCCTTGTGTTTTAATTAATGGTGCACAGAACCCCTTTTATGAATAAATTTAACGATTTGAAAATCACTTTTCCTAATATTTTGATTGAATATGCAAGTAAATATGTCAAAATCTTTAAATCATTCAAAAAGATTAATCATTTTTATTTTATAAGACAATTGAATTTTTTTATAGAAGTGATTTTGCACAACAACAACAACAACAACAACAACATCCAAACCTTAGTCCCGAAAGATATTGGGGTAGGCAAACATGAATCGATACATGATTACATGATAACACCACTAAAAGGAAAAGAAAGAAAATAAAGATAAAAAAAGTTATTATAAAAAAGATAATATAAAACGAGATGAATATACTTAAAAATGATAAAATAAAAAGAGTAAAAATAATGTTTATATATATAAGGATAAAAGAATTAAAAAACAAGAAGACAAAAGATGAGGGGAAGTAATAATAATACAAGATCACTCCTCCACACGAATACCCGCTCTCCACTTTGCTCTCTCCAAAGTCATACCCTCATCCAATCCAAGAAGAAGTGATTTTGCGCATAATTATTTAAAACACAAGGGAGTTTGACACATTTTTTAAATCACATGGAGCTAATGCACCGAATTTCCATATCATAAGGGGGTTCGGTCATTTCAGAAAATAAATGATAAATTGCAATTAATTTTAAAACTCTAGACCAAAATCTGGCAATAGATGTGTTTTGGGTAAGGGGGTAGATGAATAGTTGCACTCATCTACAGAGTAGTTATACGGTGGTTTTCTTGCAACATGGATCCATAGGCAGGTCAGATTGAGGAATGGAAGAACTCACATTCCAGCGACACCACACCTATAGTTACAACATGAATTTCACAGGATATATCAAACTACAGACACATGGTTCTTTCCATAAAGAAAATAAAATAAAATAAAAAGCAAGAACAAAGAGCGATGCTGAAAACTATTCATCAGTTAGCTGATATGATAATCATATATTGGTATCAACCCCATTCACTACTCATTTGCAATGCAAAATAAGTTCTCTTTGCAAACCTTCAAGTTTATAATCCTTCCTACCTACCAGCAAAAGACCTCATACTGCTCCAGGGGAACTTCACAGCCTCAGAAGCACCCTGACGAACATTCCTGGACCGATCTCCGCCGCAAAACCTTGTCTCCGGTCTCGATTTCCCCCTTTCTTTCTTCTCTTCAAGCCAATGCATCTGCTTTGGTTCACCATCCTCGACAATGCTGGATTTTGACTTCTTTTTGGCTTCCTTCTTGTACTGCTCAATCAGTCCGATTGGGTATAGATCTGGTGACACGGACAGCGGATTCTTCAGGGTAACATATGCCTTTTTGTAGTCCGGCTTGGCGATCAATAACCCGCCTCGCTTCTTTTTCTTCCCATCCATATTTAGGGTTTGCACCTTCTCGACTTCGAACCCGTACATGGACTCCAGAACCCTCTTGATCTCAATCTGCAATTCCACCAAAAAAAACAAATCTAAAGATTCCATTTCAGCACGGCCAAGCGATAGAAAAGGGTACCGTACCTTAGTAGCGGAGGGAATGGTTTTGAGAGAAATTTCAGTAATGTTGGAGAAGGACGAGGGCATAAGAAGCTTAATTGGTAGGTTAGCGAAGTGTATAACCCTTCTTCCCAATCTGCTCCCCATTTTTTCTTCCCAGCCAGCTGAGGCTGATGGGATTGTGCCTTACAAACTACGTAGCGATGATGAGTCCCAAGGGTTTGACCAATGTCGCAACTTGGGCCGGACAAATGGCTGGTCTCGGCGTGCGTGATGGCCCAGCCCAAACTTCCCATCATCCAATTCGCCAATCATTTATTTCAAATATTCTATTAAAAAACGTCATATTAATATGCTCACTCTTAAAATACAATTAATCAAGTCATTAGATTTACTATAACATGTTACTCCCTCCGTCCCAAATTATAAGATACTTTTCGGTTTACGATGTTTGATCGACGATAAAGCAAACGGATCTCTGTGTGCACTCAAATTAATTTTACAAAAAAAGAATTACATATTCAGAAACTACATTAAAACCGCTACAAAACCTGCAAAAAAAAATATTCAAATTTCATAAAATTTTGATATATAAAGTAAGAGATTGAGAGTGATTTGTGTTGACCAAGTGAATAGTAAAGACATCTTATAAAATGGGACAGAGGGAGTATTTTTTAAAAAATAAATTAGGAATATTGGTAAATCTTACAAAAAAAAAAAATTTTAATGTAAAAAATTTAAAAATTAAAAAAATAAAAAATCAAAAAATTAAGAAATAAAATGACAATAAAAAAATTTAAAACCTTCAAAATAGATGTAGAACATATATATAATTTTAAAAACTAAAAAATATTGGCTTTGATATTCTGGAAATTTTCACAATTTTTGTATACATTTCTTCAAATTGTAACAATTTATTAGAGTTTTTAAATATTAAAAACTTGCTACTAGAGGTCAAAAGGTGGTCATACGATACTTTTTTTTAGTATAAGGACTTAAGTGACGGATCATAAATAGTAGAAGAGCTTATTTGACCCTTTTTCCCGTTTCTAATTTTCACCAGCTATTGGGTGTGCTTTAGAGTATACTCTGTACATCTCGTTAAGATTGTCACATCTTTTCTTTTTTTTCACAAGTGAAAAGTAGGTGAGAAATAAGAATAGTAAAAATTATGTGGTTGGAATTTGTGCAGAAGGGAGAGAAATGTGGAGAACCACAAAAAGGCATATGTTACCCTGAAGAATCCGCTGTCCGTGTCACCAGATCTATACCCAATCGGACTGATTGAGCAGTACAAGAAGGAAGCCAAAAAGAAGTCAAAAAGGGTAACATATTCGGGCCTGGTCCGGATTCTTCAGGGTAACATATTCGGGCCGGGCCCGGGCCAGGCCTAGGCCCGGTCGGGCCTCCGGTCCTTGATTGGAGGGCCCAGAACCGGCCCGTGTAACCCTCGGGTCCAGGCCGGACCGGGCCGGGCCTCGGGTATTTTTTTTTTTTGCCTTCTCCTAATTAACCCCCAACCCCACCTCCCCTCACACCCAAACCACCACAAACCACTTCAAATGGCCCAAAATACCTAGCCCAATCCAAAAACTTTAAAAAAAATTCAAAAAAAAAACTAAAATGGCCCGGACCGGGCCCGAACCGGCCGGGCCGGTTCACGTTTTGAGGGGCTCAAGCCCGGACCGGAACCACCTCGGGTCGGGCCTACCCGGACCGGTCCCTGATCAGGCCACCGGGCCGGCCCGGGCCGGTTCGGGGTCGGGCCACCCGTCCCGAGTCCACCCATAGTTTTCATTTATTATTTTACGAAAAGTAAATACTACAAATCGTGTATTCAATGGTACTCAATGGGTTCACCTCTTTTTTTCCTCAGGAATCTATTATTATAATCTAATAGCAAAATGTTTTCATGAACATGATTCCCACTCAGAAATGTCACCATCAAGTGACTCATCAATTTATGTTCCTCACAAGCATCCTGCGTGGAGATTTAATAATGGGTCACTGTTACAATTTGAAATTTGAGGTGAACAGTGTTCCCTCTAGATGTTGAGTGTGTTTTAATTGGTTGGCTTTGGAGGTGTGCACAGTGGGATGTGATGCCCATGCTTTTTGCAGCTATAAAATCAGGACCAAATCTCTACCATTATCACATTCATTCGTATCTACAAGAGAAAATAAGAAAGTGAATCAAAACAACCATTAGAGATCCATGAGGAGGTATGAAGTTTTTAATGTTATTTTTTTAATTTCGTATTCAGATTTAATTGTTGAATGAAAATAAGTTTGATCTTGAGGCTGCTAAAGATGCATTTTTTTTATTCTGCAAATTATACGAAGTATTTCACTACAAAGAGTTTCCAAACTATAATTCACTTTTCCTATTGTAATGACATATTAAAAACTCATTGTTTCAATGTCTATAGGGCTCTAAGATCCATCTCACATCCATATTGGTTCTGGATGAAATTTTAAGGCCTTATAGGGAAGGTTATGTCTCTGCAGTTAAAAAATTCATAGCTATGTTGTTTATGACTTAGTTTCCTTGACAAAATTCAAGCATTAGAAATCCAACCCACAGTGTGAGCATTTTAGAATAAAAGAATGGATGGAACCAGTTGAGACAGTGTAGATTTTTTTAGGATTTCCAACCCACTGCCATTTTCTCATTGGAAAGGTTTTTCAGTGAATAGTAGAATTAGTATAAATATAAACGGCTGAGAAGTAAGGTGAATATTGGTCCTGATTTGTTGTCACTGTTTAGAATTCAAATTTTGAAATAGTTTTCCCCCCAAATTCATAAACAAATCTGATTGGTTCAAAGAAAAATACAGTGTCTGGGTTTCATTAGGCCGGACAGTTCCGGTCCTATAAAGGCTTGCACACAGCTGCTCCAACACTACAATCTAAACTAGCAAAGAAATCAGAAAAGGAAAACAAGTATTCTCAAAAATGGCGAGAGCGATCCAGTTTTCCGAGAGCCGGCTCACAATTGTTTTCCGGAGTCATTGGAGGTCGTCTTTCATGACGAGGAGGTTTGAGTGTTTTATGGTTCACTTTTACAAATTGTTTCATCTACTTCTACGCAAAATGATTTAAGTTTTTCTATTTTTAACTTCAGGACTATGAAATGCATGCACACATTCTGGACCAGTTTATCAACAAGTTTATCGGGATTTTTAAGGAAGGTCGAGTATGTGCTGTCAAGAACTATATGGTTGAGGAAAATTATATGTTTTTCAAAACTTCAACAAGCGCCTATAGGCTTTGTTTCTTTAACAAGAGCGCCGCGTTTGAGATCAAAGCAGTCCCATTCCTTTATGTATAAGAAAGTTTAGGGATTATGCATTAGAATGTTCATGGATTATGCATCATGTGAGTAAAAAAATACAATGATCATGTGAAAAAAAGATTTTAGTGCACTAAATGTATTTGAAATAATCCAGTTTGTAAAACATTTGGGTTTTACTATAGTACATGAAGGCATACGTTTTTATGAGTTGAACGAATAAGAAAAGTTTAAGACAAGCTTTTTCACAAAAAATGTTTTGGAGAAGAATATGGTTTTGCTTTCATGTATCATTCTAATGTAAGCTTGATCATAGGGTATGGAAAATGGCATGCTTCAATTCATTGGTTTTAAAATTGAATTTTGAAATATCTCCATGATAATATGATATTATTTCACATGTGAACCCTATGTGTCCTAATTTTTTCTGAGAATAATATGTTTTTAAGTAAAAATATAAAAAAATTGGATGAAACATAACCTTCTGCACATTTAAGTTAGGGCTAGAGAAATAAATTCATTGTAAAAGCAATAGAGGTGCATACCTGTGGTCTGATCTGGATGAGCTTGCGGAGGCCTAAATCTAAACTATATCTAATTATTACATTTAGAGACCCAAAAAAAAATTATGCAATGTAATAATAATTCTTCTAGATCGAGTTCTTATAAGCATCAAAGGATTCCTTGCATTTTCACAATGAGATATTAGGTTAGATATCATCAAAACTTCAAATCTTCCTGTTTTGCGAAATTGTGAATTATGAAGAACTACATTCATTCCTTACAGTAAAATTGCAGAATAAGTTTTCCAGAAAAACAGGATTATTTTAAGGCACATTACCATATCTGCCACGCCCCCTGATTGGCTGGCATGTCAAGGGCAGGTAGTTTCACCATGGCATTTCTTATATTATTTTTTATTAACAATACAAACATTATTAAACAAATTTGTTTTATTTCATATTAGAAACATTACTCACCAGCCAATTGTTATCAGTTGGCAGTTCTTATAATTGTGTTTATTAGAGATAAAGACATTTACGCCTGTTTAGGCCAATTATATTCACTTGGACAGCTATGTAGTGGAAATGTACACACCAGCCAAGTGTCATTTTTTAAAAATATGTATCCAATAATTGTCTTTATTAGAGAGCTGTCCACTACATGTTTTAACAAATGACACTTAAAATGTATATACCTGTAGTGGAAATGTGCTTAAATTTTCTGGAGTAGGATTTGGTGTGTATGAATTTATTGGATACATATTTTTTAAAAAATAAAGAAATACTTTAACATATGTTATCTTGCCTGCTTTTTTGCACCGATTTCTATGCTTGACACACTGCCACGTGCAGAGAGCTCAGCTTCCCCGTTTTCCTCCAATGCATTTAAGAAAAATAAAATGTTAACAGATAATAGAAAGAAGAGGTATTTAATGAGATTGGAGGTTAAATATAAATGGGTGAGTATTGTGTACCGTCTATGGCGCACTACGGCTGCATCAGCCTTTCTCCTTCGATGGGAATCACTGTCGTTGAATTAATGTTATTTTGTTGAACTGTAATAATGTTCGAGAGGGAAGAGTGTGTGTTGTGTGGGTGGGTGGTCTCAGTATCGTGAAGTGTGGTCTAAAAAATAATAAAGGTGTGGTGGTTGGGCCGGCGGGTGGGTTTAGGGTCTGGGAGTAATGAAGTCATGGGGGTTGGGTGTAGGATGGTTTAATAATGTTCAAGAAGAGTGTGGTTGGTTGTGCCAGAATAATAAATTCTGGGTAGTGGTTGGTTCGGTGGTGAGGTTTGAAAATCGAAAGTGCGTGGGCCCAGTTCATTCATTTAATTGCGTTGTTTTTTCAGAGGGTTGTCTAAGAATTATTCTACTTCTCTTATTCTACTGTTCTTTAGACGCTTCTAATACTCCCTCTTAAACAAATTCTCACTCACTTTCCTTATTTGACAAAACTTTCCCAAAATTAACTTCACACTTCAAAACTTTCCTTATTTGACAAATTCAGTGCCAAACAGTGTTTAAACAGTGCAAAACAATAAAGTCAAATTTATTTACTAAATATGTGTGTAGGTCAAAGTAGGAAATTAATTGCGGGACGGAGATAGTATATTTTTAAAGTGGTATTTCTGTATTTCCGTTTTTCATGAAATTTGCTTTAGTTATCTGCCAGCTGGATTCTTCCGAATTTCTTTTGTCTAAATTAAAATTTAACTTTAAAAAATCCATTAACTGTGTTATCAAAATTATACCTAAACTAATTCAGAATAAAAATTATAAAAATATATGTTTCCATACATTAAAATATATATTTTTCCGGTACTTTTTTGGATATTTTTCCCTGATATAATACAAGATTATAAGATCAGGCCCTGTGTGAAATAAGATGAAAAAATATTTTAGACTTTGATGAAACACTCTTTTGCCCAAAAATAGCCTGAATTGCAAATTTTAGCGACCAAAATCGAAAAAGGTTTTTACAACTTTTATAATTAAAATGATAAGGGTGCTATTATTTTCGTTGGGTAGCCTTTAACATAAGAGATAATGAAACAAAAATTTACTGGCCTTTGCATGTTGCAGATCAGTAGGGTTTTAATTCATCTTGGTTTAAGTCGGTGTGTTTAGTGATTTTTTTCGTAAATAACTTATATTTTCTTTTTGATCGGTCAATCTAAAGACAAAAGGTATTGCTTATTGTGAAAAAATGAATAATATGTAGCAGATCTGACGCATGAAGGACTGTATTTTTTTTCTGTTTCAACTCTAAAATTTAAGGGTATTTTTGGTGTTGTGGACTGTGGGTTGAAGATGTTGTGTGCCCCGGTGTGTGTGCATGTTTAAAATGGCCCGAATAAGTGGTTGGGTGTGTTTTGAGAAGAGAAAAATTACCTTTGTCTCTGAGGTATAACCGGAGGGAGACCGCCGTTGTTGGTTGTAGTCGGAGACCGTCTTTGTAGCTCTGAAGGTGGCTTCGATTCCTTCTTCTCCGATCCGTGAGCTTTGTTTGTGTGAGAGAGGGAGATGTCTGGCTGTGGCCGTTGTTGGTTCTGGGCGGTGGATGTTTTTGGAGGTCTGAATGGCTCTGCTATTCTGTTCTCCGATCTGGAAGTTTGTTACAGTGAGAGAGGGAGAAGTTTGGTGTTGGCGTGAATGTAGGGGGTTTGTGGGGAATAGGTATTTGGCTTACGTAATAATCTTGGGTTGGGTAATTTCAGAATTTTCCTTTGGGCCGGCCCATTAGAGTGGTTTAGAGTTTGGGTTGTGGGCCTCATTGTTTTTGGAACAAATAATTAGTGCATGTTGTTTGACATAAAATCAAGATTATAAATATTAACTAATTGTTTTTATGTTATTGTTTGTGTGGGATTAAACAGGTATTTGCATTACATAACAATATTATTTTTTCCTTTAAATGGGTCTTTTTATTTTTAAATTTGGTATTACTTTTTTTTAAATTAAATTAACTTGTTAATGATTATATGATGGGTCTCAACGTCGGCAAGGTTTCTAGGACGTATCTTAGTTCTGATAGCGTTTCAAAGGTAGATTCTACGACAGATCTCATGGCAGAACTGCACACCCCGGAATTCTTGAATATCATCAAGTTGTCCGGTGTACCGAATCATAGGTTGATGTTAAAGGTGAGCACCCCTGTCATGCTTCTAAGAAATATTGATCATTCCATGTGTTTGTGTAACGATACTCGGCTAATTCTCACTAGGCTTTGCGATCATGTTTTGGAGGGGAAAATATTGACTGGTGTTAGTGCTGGACAGAAAGTCTTGATTCCTCTATTGTCCTTGACTCCCTCGGATGCAAACTTGGCTTTCAAATTTCAAAGCGACAGTACCCCACTATGATTTCATATGTCATGACTATAAATAAAAGTTAGGGCCAATCATTATCCTGTGTGACGTTTTTGTTGAAGAAATCTGTGTTTACGCATGGGCAGCTCTATGTTGCGGTTTAAGAGTGACCAATAAGCGTGGTTTGAAAATACTTACTACCTCCGTCCCTTAAAACTTTGTCAAGTTTGACCGGCACAGGGATTAATAAAGTAAAAACTGTGCGGTTGAGGTTTATGCAGAGGAAAGAGAATTAACTGGAACCACAAATTTTTTACTTAAAAGAGAAAGTGACAAAGTTAGTGAGACATCCAAAAAAGGAAAGTTGACAAAGTTTTAAGGGACAAAGGGAGTATATGCAATGAGGGCGGGAGGATTGCGAGTGCCACTCAAAATGTGGTTTATAAAGAAGTTTTTAATAACGTGTAGTGTTCCATTCAATTCCGTTTTAAAGAAATGTCTGTAGTTCTATGCAGAATGATTTTGGTTTAGTTTATGATTATATTTCTATGTTTAATATTTTCTTGATCTTTAATTGTGCACTCTGTAACTGACTCCTAATTCCTTTTTTACTATCAATTAATCTTTTGCGAAGGTATTGAAAACATTTTGAAAGGAAGAAAAAATTAGATAGAAATTCACCGACCGTGCATCGCACGGGTGATTTACTAGTAAGATTAAAAGCAAAACATTCCCACATTAGTACTACGGCTAAATATGTAGGAGGCTAGTAATGTTTAAAAGTTAAAGAATTTTCTTTATGCGAGTGTTAACGACCACTTGCACTGTTATCTTCATTATTATGATTTATAAATGACATCGAGGAAATGAGGAATACATGAAATTAAAAGCTCCAACCAGTTAATCAAATCAATTCTTATCCTACAAAATGCAAAGCTGCATGATGGATGTGAAACTATAAATAGGCAAGATGTGAATCATTTAAGATGTGCATCTTGGCCCGAGGCAGTCAGTTTTATGGACATTAACCATAATAATTAGTAACTCAGCAGCCTTTTCTTATATATCTGTTGGTAAATTGTTGAGAAGTATTGTAGTATGATGATGTCAACGTAATAAGCAAAGAACTCCCAGCCACAATATTTCTAGCTTCATGATGCCTTCTTCTTAATGTGGTATGGGTATTTTTGGTAAATAGAGATGCTAGTCATGACCAGTGGTAGCGCCACGAGACAGTGCACTGAAGGAGGTTTACCATCAAAGATGAACTGCAGTAGAGCGGTAACAAGAAGGGCAGAAACAATGACGAACCCCTGCTAATTATAATGTAATAAGTATAATACAAAATATCAGTGGTAAATAAATGGTAAAAACTGCAGAACAGAGTATCAGAAGAAATTAGGCAAGGGTCAAGCTCCCAGTATCTTGTGTATCTCGATACTCAATCTATTGTCAAGTAACTATTGTTTCAGGTCTTTACGAGCATACTAAGGAAGAACTAAATTTTTCTAAAATCATGGCAAAGTATAATATCATTAGAATACTCTTCATTAATTAACACTATGCATGGTACAATATAAAGAAATCTCCCTAAATAGAAGTAAAAACAATATTGTTCCCTAAATTGGAGGCTTGGAGCACTATTTTTTTTCTTAAATAAGAGTAAATACCTTCATGATGAAAAAACTGTCATATTATTATGGCATTAATACTATGGTATTAAAGCCTGGTAATAATGCCATAATATAGGAGTATGATTTCAAGATGGCAGTATTGTACTGCTATTTAGGGAGAGAAAACATGTGTACTCCAATATTGTACTACAATTATACTAAGTACTCTGTATTATTTATGGATGGAAAACAACAATCGTAAAAAATGGGAAATTATTGCTCTCTTGGCATTCAAAAGTGACAGATATCTGAGGGCAAAAATATGGCTAGAATGACAATTAATTGAGAACATGGAAGTTCTTACTATGGTTCATGCTTGTTACGGCGGTAAGTCGAGTTGTGGCGCCAGCTGACCGCCATATCGCCTAGGCGACAAGGCGCCCGCCTAGGCGACAATTAGGCGACTAGTCGCCTACATTTGTATATTATATTATATATTATGTATATAATTATATATTTACATATATAATTATATATTTAATTATATATTATGTATAATATATTACTAACTAAAATGTATATAACTTATAATTGAAATCCACAATTAGTAATTAAAAACAAGGTTTATTAATGGGAATTAAGAGTTTATTATTAAACTAATATATACGAGCATATTAGTATTCTGTATATCACCAGTAGAATAAATTATTGGTTTAATGCCTATATCACCATGTTACACTGTATTTAATAAATTAATTGTTTTATACTTTTATAGTGTGAAATATAAGATTGTATTCATTATTCTTCATATGAAATCCTATACAAGAAGCTATATTTATAGCTATATTTAGAGTACTAGGGTTTCCTATACAAGATATACAACTGGGCTAAGCCCAATACTACTAGGGTTTCCACACTCCCCCTCAAGCTGGAGCATATAAATCATATGTACCAAGCTTGTTACAAATATATTCCACTCTAGGACCTCTAAGAGACTTAGTTAAAATATCTGCAAGTTGTTCAGTTGTGTTCACATATTTTGTGATGATATGTCCACTTGTGATCTTCTCTCGGATAAAATGACAATCAACTTCAATATGTTTTGTCCTCTCATGATATACCGGATTTGATGCGATGTGCATTGCAGCTTGATTATCACACATGAGTTGAACTGGTTTTGTGTTTCCATATTTTAACTCTTGGAGGAGATGCTTCAACCATAAGATTTCACATGTAGCAAGAGCCATTGCACGATATTCTGCTTCAGCACTAGATCTGGCAACCACATCCTGTTTCTTACTTTTCCATGAAATTAAGTTTCCACCAATCAAGATGCAATATCCCGAAGTGGAACGTCTATCCATCGGACATCCGGCCCAGTCTGCATCACAGTATCCCACAATATCATGGTGGCCTCGATCTTCAAACAACAATCCTTGCCCTGGAGTTTTCTTGATGTATCTCAAAACTCGGATAGCTGCATCCCAGTGTCCAGTACATGGCTTATCAAGAAACTGACTAAGAACACTTACCGCAAATGAAATATCTGGTCTTGTGATGGTAAGATAATTCAATTTGCCGATGAGTCTTCTATATTTTTCCTTGTTAGACAAAAGATCTCCCTATTCTGATAAGAGTTTAACGTTTGGATCCATTGGTGTATCCACTGGCCTGCAATCTAGCAAACCTGTTTCCTCCAGAATATCCAAGGCATACTTTCTTTGTGAGAGAGCAATTCCATCTTGAGATTGTGCGACCTCAATGCCAAGGAAGTATCTCAACTTTCCCAAGTCTTTTGTTTGAAATTTGCTAAACAGATGTTGCTTGAGAAGCACAATTCCTTGATCATCGCTACCTGTAATGACAATGTCATCAACATACACAACAAGATAAATACATTTGTTGCCAGCAGAATGTCTGTAGAATATAGAATGATCAACATCACTGCGAATCATGCCAAAGCTGCAGACAACGGCACTAAACCTCCCAAACCATGCACGTGGAGATTGCTTCAAGCCATATAATGAACGACGTAATCTGCACACCATACCAGACTCCCCCTGAGCAACAAATCCAGGTGGTTGCTCCATATAAACTTCCTCGTGCAGATCTCCGTGAAGGAATGCGTTTTTAATATCCAATTGGAACAATGGCCAGCGGCTCATTGCTGCCATGGATAAAACCAAACGAACTGATGCAATCTTTGCTACAGGAGAAAAAGTGTCAGTGTAATCCAAGCCATATATCTGAGTATACCCTTTCGCCACAAGGCGTGCTTTAAAACGATCAATCTCCCCATCAGGCCCCACTTTAACTGTGTAAATCCACCGACATCCCACCACTGATTTGCCAGCGGGAAGGGGGACTAAGTCCCATGTCCCACTAGAATGAAGAGCCTCCATCTCAGCCAACATGGCTTTACGCCACTCCGGGTGTGCCAGTGCCTCAGGTGTGGTTTTAGGAATGCATATATGAGACAGGTGGGAAATAAAGGCATAGTAAGGGGTAGAGAGGCGGTGATAACTCAAAAAATTATATATGGGATGTGGATTCAATGTGGAACGCGTACCTTTTCGGAGAGCAATGGGCAAATTATCCTGAGTGGTGTCAAGTGCTGGAGTAGGTGATGGTGGTGATGCAGGATCCGTCATAGGGGAATCAACGGGCGTGGCCACGATGGGCTCAATGGGAGGAGGTCGAGGACGTCGATAGTATACCTGTAATGGACGGTCTGACATAGGAGGGCAGTTTGGGTGCTCATCAGATGGGGGGTTAATGGGAGTCTCCTGAGGGATGGGCCGAAGATATGAGGTGAAGTCCAAACATGATGGGGTATCAACTGAAGATAATGGATAATAAAAGGACGACTCAATGAAAGTGACATCGGCTGAAATAAAATGTTTCTTAAGTAATGGAGAATAACAACGATACCCCTTTTGGAGTCGCGAATATCCAAGAAAGATACATTTTATTGACCTAGCCGCCATTTTAGCTAATCCAGGTGTCGTATCATGGACAAAACACACGCACCCAAACACATGAGGTGGTAATGGAAATAAATCACGAGCAGGAAACAAAATAGAATAAGGAATTTCATTATTAAGAACTGAGGAAGGCATTCTATTTATTAAATGACACGCAGTGAGCACAGCATCTGCCCAATACTGAGGTGGTGTATGGGAATGTAATAATAGGGTACGAGCAGTATCAACCAAGTGTCGGTTCTTGCGTTCAGCAACCCCATTTTGTTGAGGTGTGTGAACACAAGAAGATTGGTGAAGCATACCCCGTGATGTCATGAATTGATTAAAGGATGCCCCAAAAATTCTTTAGCATTGTCACTGCGTAAAACTTTTATAGAATGACCAAACTGAGTTTGAATTTCAGCACAAAAAATTTGAAAAATATGAAACAATTCAAAACGCTCTTTCATTAAAAACAACCATGTGTAACGGGAAAAATCATCCACAAAAATAACAAAATAACGGAAACCTAAAGTAGAAGTGACTCGATACGGACCCCATACATCTGTATGAACTAAATCAAACGGTGATGTAGCCCGTTTATTGACTCGCCTGGGAAAGGAGTTACGAGGTTGTTTTCCAAGGTGACATGACTCACAATCTAAAGATGAAAGATTTGAGAAACCTGGAACCATACGTTGAAACTTTGAGAGACTAGGATGACCCAGACGGTTATGTAAGGTAATAGCAGGTTCAATTGAAACACAAGCGACTGGATCAAGAGGATGGAGATGATACAGACCTTGAGATTCGTGTCCGACGCCAATCGTTTTCCCCGTACAACGGTCCTGCACAATCACAGAATCAGCAGAAAATGTTACAGAACAATTAAGAGCACGTGTAATTTTACTGACAGAGACGAGGTTAAAAGGGGTGTTTGGGACATATAAGACGGAGTCTAACGGTAAGGATGAAAATGGAAGTGCTTGCCCAATACCCGAAGCAGAAGTTTGAAGGCCATTAGCAAGAGTAATCAAAGGAAGATGTCGGTGCTTGGTAATATGGGATAAAAGATGGGGATTACCAGAAATATGGTCTGAGGCACCTGAGTCAATGATCCATGAGCCTGTTGTGTTTGAAACACAAGCTGTAGACTTCCCGGGTGTGGGTAAAGGCATATTAGTCAACTTAAATTGCTGATATGCTGCATATTCTTCCGGTGATAGAACAATGGGAGATGGTGGTAGCTGAGCAACATGGGCTGAGGGAGGAAGTCTCCCATGTAATTTCCAACACCTGTCTTGAGTATGACCAATTTTATGACAAAAATCACATTTAGGACGATTCCATCTTGAGTATCCGGTGTTGTTTCCTCTGTCAGAACTCATAAGAGACATTTTTTTTTAATGCTAATTTGTTTTTTTTTTCTTTCCCTTTTTTTTTTTTTTTATTTTTCTTTTTTTTTTCTTTTTTTTTTTTAATCAAAAGAAAATGAGTAAATTAAAAAGTGAATTTAGTGCTTTGTAAATAATAAGGCAGATAGAGCACCAGGAAGCCAGACTTGGCAGTAGCAGCGGACAAGAGCAGCCAGTCTTGGACTCTGGCAGTAGCTTCGGATGAGAACAGGAGTTCAGAACAGGAGTTCACGACACAAACCTGACTTCGGCGAAAGGGTAGAGCAGCGGCGGGCAGGCGGAGCGACGGTGGCAAAGCGAGTGTTCGGCGGCGGCGCGTAGGTTCAGCGGCGGCGCGTGGGTTCGGCGGCGGCGCGTGGGTGTCCGATGAGTGCCTGTGTTATGCTGTTGTGGTCGCCAGAAGCTCCAGGTCTTCAGTGTGTTGGCTGTGAGCGCTCCGAATAAGTAGAATGGAGTAGATCTGCAAATATGTTATTCAGCTGCAGTACGGAGCGGTGGCGCGTGAGGGCGCGTGAGGACCGTCGTGCTGGTACTGTTCCGGGTGGTTGGTCGCGATGGTATGCTGAGCAAGGGGGTAGGTGTAGATCAGAGATTCACTACCGGAAGTGTGCTCCAACACCACTTACAACTACTGTTCACGCCTGAAATGCTTGCCGGAAGCCAGCGCCCTAACTATTGCCATATAGGCTCTGATACCATGTGAAATATAAGATTGTATTCATTATTCTTCATATGAAATCCTATACAAGAAGCTATATTTATAGCTATATTTAGAGTACTAGGGTTTCCTATACAAGATATACAACTGGGCTAAGCCCAATACTACTAGGGTTTCCACATATAGTATCTATATAATTACCATTAAAAAAAGTATCTATATAATTAATACTGTACTCATATATTGATAAATTTGATATACATATATAATTATATATACCACTTAAATAGTAAAAATATTAAAAAAATAAATCCACTACACCCCTAGAGAATAAAAGATAAGACTAGATAAGAAATCGACTGGTCTGTCTCGTCGTATGCTTCAAGCATCAATGACGGACAGGGTGATGACGGTTGGCTTGGCCGGCGACTTCTTCTGCCTTCTGAAGTTGGTTCGTCGCTTCTCTGTGAGTTGTTCTCTGCGTCGGGCTTTATATTTAATTAGAAGGCCACCACCTTAAATTCTTAATTAAATAGGTTTCCTAAAAAAATTAAACCTTAATCTAAATCCTTAATCTACTCTGGGCCTGCGTACAACTTCTCGACTGGGCTAAAATAGGCGGTGATAAATCGCCAAGTTCACGCCAGGACGACGCCAAACGCGACTGGTCATCTCTCGGCGAGGCGAGCTTACCTGGCGAGCAGTCCCCAGCGCCTGGACGCCTAGTCGGCGACTAGGCGACGCCTAGGCGACGCCGTGACAACCATGCTATGGTTGACCAAAAGCTAGTGCACATCATAAACTGGACATAATCCAATCTTCATGTAGGGAAATGAAGAAATGTTACCATGGGCGTAGAAAAACCAACATTATTTGATGCACTATTGTACTTATTAGTAGTTAGTACATAAAAAGTACTTGTACGGGCTGAAAATTATCACCTTCATATGAAATGTCTAAAAATATGTAGGCCTGTGTTTGCCATGTGTTAAAATGGAATAGAGGATTCTTATAGTGATACTTGCCTTTCGAACACCACCAGCATAGGAGGTCACAAGGCCAACAAGAATTCCACCAACAGCATTAATCGTGACGGGGATCTGAAACAAAACAATTTAAATTCAATTTCAAAAATGTATATAGTTATGGATATTTTTATTAACTAATACTCCGTATTTCACAAATTTACATATGTTTGGACCAGTTTTAGATTTAAAAGAGGTTCATTGAGTTGAATCCTGACCATGCAAAGAAATGAGACTATATACATACCATTGTCAATGGAGTCCATCCATAAAAAAAGCCATGTCGTCTCATGGCTTCTCCGTCTGGAGACTTAAAAGCACTAGCTATTAAGCACAAACTCCCAATTATCGACATCTCTATGGTCATCATGTAAGAACTATGTTTCTTTACCTGTATACCGAAGAAAAAATAGAAACAGCCGTAAATCAGAAGCTGCACATTGTCAGCATAGTAAAGAGAGAGTAGCGATCCTGTCAGGCCAGCCTGACAAGACTCGCCGTCCGCCTGAAGCCATTTGGGGCTCTTCCCGGTAGAATATTTTGATGAAATATTTCGAGCATGTTCTTCATCAAGTCTAGTTTATGATCACCAAATTTCAGCTTAAAATTCAACCGGGAAGGTAGTTAAATAAATTCTTTAACTAAACTACGCAGTTTATGTAAAGAATTTATTTAACTACCTTCCCGATTGAATTTTAAGCTGAAATTAGGTGGTCATAAACTAGACTTGATGAAGAGCCCAAAATGGCCTCGGTCTGACGGTGGTTCCCATCAGGCCGACCTGATATGATCTGCCCTCAGTAAAGAGAAACATGAGGTCTACTTGCCTGACAGGCCCATTGACACAATGCAGAAGCCAGCCCAGAGAGTACAGATGCAACCAAGACAGGAACGATCCCATAAAATAAGATGTCATCAGAATTATTATCATTATTACTGACAGATGCTTTACTTGATCCTTCACCAATACTTAGAAGTACAGCTGCAACAATCAACAAGAAAAGAGCCCCAATTTGTTGAATAGATTGCTTCTGCCTACAAATAGCACCGAACAAAGAATGTGTTTGCACATATGTTCATTTGCTCGTAAGCCAACTTTGATAAGAAAGTTAAAGTAGCATCACTAGATTCACTACAACTAAAGATTAGATAAAATTAACTTTAAAATGTATTTTTTGTTAAACCTTCCGCAAAATCAGTGTGCATAACCACACTGATGACCAATTCAATGCATTGTTTTGTCAAAACAATTATGAGTATCAAGTAAGAGCAGTAAAACTCATATGGAAAGGAAAGTATCAACTGTGTGTTGACCAGGCACATACCTCAATATGAAATAGGTAAACAAAGCTGTGAAAAAAAGCTTTGTTTGGTTCAAAATTGAAAAAGTGAGTGAATCAAGGTTTCTGTATGAAATCTGCAACAAGCTATTTTGGAGCGCATATATAGCAGCAGGCAACCCTGAGGCAGTCAACGATCTGACCAAAGTCCAATTTCTGTACAGTTTCTTCAGATTACCTTCTTTTGATATTATTATAAAAGCACATGTTATCTGCAATTGAATTTCAATGCTACTTAGTGTACATGATAATGAATTAAAGATCAAGCCAAAATTGGGGGAGGGCATGTCACTTGGGTTGAAGAAGCAAAAGGCGAAAAAGAAGATATTACCTTGACGATCTCACATGCTAAAACAGATGAAGTTACAATCACTTGTCGGCTGCAGGAAGATTAGAACATGAGCTTCAAGAGGGAACATTTTCTTATCAGGAGTGACATAATATAAAGATTATATTTGTGCAACGGACAATATAGTATTATAGTTTAGACTTTAGATGATCAGGCACAAAACAAGTAACTTTAACATGAAATAGAGTTTCAGATGCAACTAGGTAAAAAATATCCACACAAATAGCTTCGAAAACAATTCATACTTTGGGGTGAGTGGGGGGGGGGGGAGAGAAAAACTAGTTTTAATTTCCATCATTTTAACAGCAGATACTTAGGGTTATAAAGCTTAATTGTTTGCAACCAAATACGAATAGATATAGATAAAAATAATTATAGACTATGAACTAGTACGTAATTCATATGACTATATGATGTGTGTGATCATTATGACCCCCTCCTAGCCTCCTAAGACATTCAAGTCACCAGCAAGCATATCAGCATATGTATGCGTATTGATATGATTTATTCAAGTTTACCTAAGAAGATTACATGCTTCAGATACTTAGCAATAAGGGAGAAGTTCTTTTGGCAGTTGGCACTATTTAGTCCGCAGGACTGGACTAATTAGTCAAATCTTATGTATTCCAACACCTGAATGATGAAGAAATTTTCTTCTCTGAAGGAATTCTGTCAGTCAAAATGACAAAATCTACCCTTGAACTATGATTACTGCCGTACTGATAATCCAGCAGGCACGCTTAGCTGTGAATTTTTCATTCTTTGCATTATGATGCTTCCATTTCCGGACATGCCACAATGATCGTATTACTCTTTAAATAAGAAACACGTATTCTAGGAATGCATTCAATCAGATACACACAGGCATGTAACGTTAAAGTAGACAGCATTATATCCACTACTAATCAAGAAGATATCGTGCCCGGTAGCTAGTAGCATTAGAACCTGACAAATCGTTTGGAGATGAGCGGCTGAAGGCCGTATTGGATGGTAAGCAGTACAGAAAGTAACCAGATCTTTGAGCCAGAGTTCGCACTCGGATTCAGCTTCGGAGCTTTCGATTCGGTCCCCGACATTGGCGGCCCACAATATAATGAAAGACGAATGGGGTTGGGATTTCCCGGCTATCTACGGGAACGGGGGATGAAGCTCAAATGTGATTATCTCGTATTACAAATTTACAATGGCGGAATTTTAGTAGACGGGAAAGGTCGCTTGCGGGGGCAGTCTAAATTTGGGGCCCGGCTTCAAATATACAATCGGCCGCCATATATCTATATACACAAATATTCCGGTCAGGAATTTCCTGACAGGAGCCCCGTCCTGCCTCCGTCATTTGGGGGCTTTCCCGGTTGTATTTTTTGCTCAATTTTTTTTTATATGTTCCTCATCAAGTGTAGTTCATCCATACCAAATGTCAGCAAAACATTCAATCGGGAAAGTCGTCAAATGAGTTTTGCAAGTTAACTGGTCCAGAATATGTATTTTCCGGACCATTTAACTTGTAAAAATCATTTGAAGACCTTCCCGATTGAAATTTTTGCTCAAATTTGGTATGGATGAACTAGACTTGATGAGGAACATACAAAAAATATTTAAGCAAAAAATACCACCAGGAAGGCCCTCAAATGGAGGAGGCCGGACGGGGCTCCTATCCGGAATTTCCGGACAGGAATAGCTCTATCTATATAATATAATAAAGCAAACTCTTTTGGATAACCCTTTGGAAGAATTCTTGACATATGGAAACATTCTTTATAGGAAATTTTAGCAAAAAATTCAATCGAGAAGGTCGTCAAATGATTTTTGCAAGTTAACTGGTCCGGAATATGTATTTTCCGGACCAGTTAACTTGTAAAAATCATTTGAAGACCTTCCCGATTGAATTTTTTGCTCAAATTTGGTATGGATGAACTAGACTTGATGAGGAACATACACAAAAAATTTGAGCAAAAAATACCACCGGGAAGGCTCCCAAATGGAGGAGGCCGGACAGGGCTCCTGTCCGGAATTTCCGGACAGGAATAGCTCTATCTATATAATATAATAAAGCAAACTCTTTTGGATAACCCTTTGGAAGAATTCTTGACATATGGAAACATTCTTTATAGGAAATTTTAGCAAAAAATTCAATCGAGAAGGTCGTCAAATGATTTTTGCAAGTTAACTGGTCCGGAATATGTATTTTCCGGACCAGTTAACTTGTAAAAATCATTTGAAGACCTTCCCGATTGAATTTTTTTGCTCAAATTTGGTATGGATGAACTAGACTTGATGAGGAACATACACAAAATATTTAAGCAAAAAAGACCACCAGGAAGGCCCTCAAATGGAGGAGGCCGGACGGGGCTCCTGTCCGGAATTTCCGGACAGGAATAGCTCTATCTATATAATATAATAAAGCAAACTCTTTTGGATAACCCTTTGGAAGAATTCTTGACATATGGAAACATTCTTTATAGGGAATTTTAGCAAAAAATTCAATCGAGAAGGTCGTCAAATGATTTTTGCAAGTTAACTGGTCCGGAATATGTATTTTCCGGACTAGTTAACTTGTAAAAATCATTTGAAGACCTTCCCGATTGAATTTTTTGCTCAAATTTTGTATGGATGAACTAGACTTGATGAGGAACATACACAAAAAATTTGAGCAAAAAATACCACCGGGAAGGCTCCCAAATGGAGGAGGCCGGACAGGGCTCCTGTCCGGAATTTCCGGACAGGAATAGCTCTATCTATATAATATAATAAAGCAAACTCTTTTGGATAACCCTTTGGAAGAATTCTTGACATATGGAATCATTCTTTATAGGAAATTTTAGCAAAAAATTCAATCGAGAAGGTCGTCAAATGATTTTTGCAAGTTAACTGGTCCGGAATATGTATTTTCCGGACCAGTTAACTTGTAAAAATCATTTGAAGACCTTCCCGATTGAATTTTTTGCTCAAATTTGGTATGGATGAACAAGACTTGATGAGGAACATACACAAAATATTTAAGCAAAAAATACCACCAGGAAGGCCCTCAAATGGAGGAGGCCGGACGGGGCTCCTGTCCGGAATTTCCGGACAGGAATAGCTCTATCTATATAATATAATAAAGCAAACTCTTTTGGATAACCCTTTGGAAGAATTCTTGACATATGGAAACATTCTTTATAGGAAATTTTAGCAAAAAATTCAATCGAGAAGGTCGTCAAATGATTTTTGCAAGTTAACTGGTCCGGAATATGTATTTTCCGGACCAGTTAACTTGTAAAAATCATTTGAAGACCTTCCCGATTGAATTGTTTGCTCAAATTTGGTATGGATGAACTAGACTTGATGAGGAACATACACAAAAAATTTGAGCAAAAAATACCACCGGGAAGGCCCCCAAATGGAGGAGGCCGGACAGGGCTCCTGTCCGGAATTTCCGGACAGGAATAGCTCTCTATCTATATCTATATAATATAATAAAGCAAACCCTTGAGGAACTCTTTAGAGGAATTATTGACATGTGGCAATAGTCTTTGTATGAAAAAGTGACATGTGGCAAGACAATAAATTCAAGAAAAAACTATTCAACTTCCAAAACTCTACTTTTATGTACTCCAATATTATATACATATGTATTTAAATCATTGGTATACTGAAATTTTATAACTATTATATTGTACTACCTCCGTCCCACTAAGATTGGGACATGAGGTGATGACACGATTATTAAGAAAAATGAGTTTATGTGGTTGATGTTGAATTGCTGAAATAAAAATTAAGAAAGAATGATTTAATACCATACAAACTTTAGCTAATTTTGTACTTCGTATGAGAAAGTGTTAGAGGGACGGATCGAAAGGAAAAGATAAGAGAATCTCAGTGGGACGGAAGGAGTATCTATAAAAAAACACTCAGTGTAGAAATGACGCAATTTACATCTTTTGAGTAAACATTTGAATAATTATTATAATATAGAAATAATAGTTCAACAAGGGTTGTAAAATAACAAGTATATTTCAAAATAATTTTGGTACTAAACCATCAATATTGAAGACAAAAAAAGTAAAAAAAAAAAAATAGATGTTTATAATTTGTGTTACTCACTTAACATGCAACCCGTGTGAATTGACCCACGAAACCGGTCACTTCATTGGATAAAAAACGACAACTCTTACCCACTTTGAAATGGGATGCAATAGACCAAGCTAGCCTGGAGACTTTGACTCCTTTCGACAGCTCTATCCACAGTTGAGTGAATTTTCTTTTAAACCGTGATTGATGAATTCACATACAATTCATTTCACTTACAATTTTTATAAAAACTTTAAGTGCATATTTTGCCGTGCAGTGCACGGGTACATATACTAGTAATATAATAAAGCAAACTCTTTTGGATAACCCTCTGGAAGAATTCTTGACATATGGCAACATTCTTTTTAGGAAAAAGTGGCGTGTGGCAACGCCATAAGGAAAAAACTATTCAACTTTCAAAACTCCACTCTTATGTAATCTAATCTAAAAACATTATTGATGGTACCATGGATTAAGACCATGGCCCAATTACGTAGTCCAGCTCATAAACGGGATCAGCCCTTAAAGGGATCAGCTTAATTATAGGATTAGCCCATAAACGGGATCAGCCCTTAACGGGACCAACCTAATTACAGGATTAGCCCATAAACGGGATCAGCCCTTAAAGGGATTAGCCTAATAACAGGATCAGCCCATAAACCGGATTCATGGTTGAAAGCCGCTTAGCCCATTAGGAATTAGGCCTACGATAGGAAGCCATCACCAGGCCGGGCTGGACAGCAAACCTCGAGCCTGGGCGGAGTTCTAGTGAGGCTGGGATATTCCTAGGGCTTACGTGGTGAACTATCACTCGTTGATAGATATTTGGCAACAGGCAGAACTCATCCGGAGGACGGCGACTAAAAGGGGAAAGCAATCGTGTGGGAATCAAGCATCAAAGAGTTCTATTTCGAGCAAGAATATAGTTCATTAATTAAGCATTTATTGTATTAGATTCCTCCCATAATTCTACTTCCCAATCTCTATAAATACTTGATGTAAACACCTTACCAAGGGATCAGACTCCCGATAAGATTCTGAACCGAGGCTAGACTATTGCTAGTTCTCCGAAATAAAGAGTAAAACTGCCTTACGTTGCCATATTATTCTCAAATCTACATATATTTAGCTCTCGTAGTTGGATTTAACTCCATCATTTGGTGCTCTCGTTGAGAGCCGAATATACGAAGCAGCGATGGTTGTATCAAATAGCAATAATCGCGTTGGTAGCAATCAAGGCGGAGATAGTTTCAATCATGTTACGATTGAAGATGAAGGGTCAAGGTCCCGAAGGAGCGATTTTAGGAGGCGCAACGACAACGCTGCCACGCAAGGCGATCTGAGGAACCAGATTCGTGGTGGGGGGAATCCTAAGGACTGTGTGGTGCGTCCACCACAGTTCCAGACGCCGGGTACTAGGCATAACATCCCCGCCATGGATCCCACACAGGCTTTGGCGAGTTTGGCCACATTCCAGAGGGCGGTGGAGACTTTGACAACTGCATTCCAAGGTATCATTCCGAATACTGCTGGGAGACCTCCTTCCTCTCGCCGGGCTCCATATGTGGCTCCGCGAGGAGAAGAGAACTCTCTCCTGCGCATGAGGAATTCTCCACCTGCCCAGTCTCAGCGCTCCCACCGATCCAGGGCAACTCCCAGGATTCCGGTGGTAAACCGGATGAGTGAGCAAAGGATTTCTGTTCATGATAGACTCTCCTCTAGGGTTGAGCACAGTGAGGGGGCCTCTTCGGCTGCCATTTCGTCCCGTCACCAAAGTGCGCAAAGGGGAGATCTCAGGAACGTGATCAACGCGAATAGGCAAGCCCGAAGAGATCGCCGGTCACCAGTGCGCTCTCAAGTTGGCCATAATAATACCGACCTTAGGAGAAGGTTAGACAAGCTCAGAAGGGAGATGGAAGGAAGATCAGGTCTCGACTTCGAGCATGGCGTGCGAATTCCCGAGCCTTTTACTAGGCAAATCATGGAGGCACCATTGCCTCAGGGATACCGGCCATGCAACATTGAGGCTTACAAGGGAAAAACGGACCCTCAGCACCACGTTTCCAGGTATGTGACTTATATGGTCATGATGGGATATGATGACGCTATAAAGTGTAGAGGATTCTCGGTAACCCTAGACGGGCTAGCACGGGAATGGTACGACGTGACTCTCTGCCAGACGGAGGGATAGGGAGCTTCCGGGAGTTGGCTCACGCATTCGTGACGCGTTTTTGCCACCTCCAAGGATTCCAAGAAGAATGTCTCTCACCTTCTGGGAATCAAACAGTGTGACACCGCACCCGAACGTCCTTGAAAATTCAATTTAAAATTCAAAGTTTATGTATTGAATTTCCGACTTCCAAACAATTGTAAAACGATTAATGTTTTACGTAGTGCATGATTGAATATTGTGCCGTTCAAACTCGTATATTGGTGTCGGGTTTTGCAAATAGTTATTTGGGCCTTATTAATGAACATAAGAGCCCAACATTACCTAAATAATGTTACATAACCTTTCAAGGCAAGTTGAGGAAGGATGGGCGGCCCAAACATTATTTTGGTCCCAACCTGCTAAAAATAATAAGTATTCAAGAATGACGTCCTAGGCTCACTCGAGGGTGACCCACACGGATAGTAGTCCAATAATATGAATGACAATGTCAAAATAAGTGATTGGATGATTAGAGAAGAATACAAATGCATATGGTCCAATCTTGGACATTATTGAGCTAAATAATGGGAGTAGGACTTTTCCTCCTATAATATCCATCATGTAAATTATTGGGATGATCCTACACATATTGGGGATTAATAATATGATGTATGAAGTTGACTTGGCCTACATAAATTACAATGAGTACAAAAAGACATCTTTTGACAAGAGATAAAACAATAGGACCCATTCTTCCATTTTTGGGTTATTGATTGATATTTTGCTCCCAAATTAATTGGGGAACACCATGCTGCGCCCCATCTCTTCCTTCCACCTTCAAGACAAGAAAAATAATGTTAGGGGGCTGCCACCCACAGCTGACTTTAGGGGATGGACTTGACAAAGGAAACAAGAGGGAACCCCACCTAGTCTATTTTCGCACAAAAAGATGGTGCTGGTTGTCTCCCTCCATGAGTGAAGTTATACTCGACCAAATAAGGTGAATGAGGTGTCCTTGGATAGCCTTTGAAGTATAGTTTCATATTTGAGTGGTCTCTGTGCTAGAGGGGAGATTTTATCATACAAAAATCGAGCTGGAGTGAACTGCTGTCTGTAAACTCGAGCAGTGAGAGTGCTGAGTCTGTTTGGTTGATATATAGAGTTATACCAATCCAAATAAGGCTTTAGAGATACCAAACGAAAGCTCTCAAGACGAGGAATCCGTGAAGGTCTGGTGTGCATCAATCGGAATAGTGGAAGGCTTCCAAATCGTCCGAGCAAAACGCAACCTCGCAGAAACGGATTTACTCTCCAAAAAGTGAGTGTTAATCCCAAAACTTTACTTTTCATCTTCCAAATGATATGAACGATTGGTGAGACTATTATACACTACTCCAAGTGTATAATATGTCCTCATAAGGTTATTTTATTGATGTAAAGGTTAGATACTAACATAGAGCAAATCTTGGAAAAACTAGGAAACGAGTTAACCGGAAAACACCCATTCTAGGGGCTGTTTTCGTATCAACGGTTAGGGGTTGAACTAGCACTTGAGGAGGCTGTTTAACACTCATTTCCAAGCAAGGAATCAGTTCTCAAACCTTCTTGGCCGAGGCTTTGGTCGTTGGATCGAGGAGGAAGGTTTTAAAGCTCATTTGAGGTGAGGATTGACATCTAATTGCTTACAACTTGTAGGTTAAGCATGAGATTACCTAAATGCATAAATCATAATTTTTCATGGATTATGATGATTAAATATTGATGAAATATTGATATAGTTCCCAAAGAATGCAATTGGAAGTGATTTGAGGTTATATGAATAATAAGAGATTAAATGAATTATAAATGAACTATTTTGTGAAATAGGCATTTTTCTCATGTATGAAATATGAGGATACATAAATGAATATTCATGTATTGATATTGAATATTTAAGTTGCTGCTACATAATTATAAATATGTAGAGAATTACAAAATGAGAATATTTGTATGATAACAATAATCTTAATAGTATTGAAATATTAGTTAGTGATTATTGAAAATTGTTGTTGGAATTGATCCTAGGGATTGGATTGTATGAAATGCACTTGAATATACTTCAAGTGTATATGATGACTTAGTATGAAACTAAGGTTAAGTGGTGGGAAGTCTTTAAGGATGACCCATGGTAGTTTATTGATGTGTCAATTCTAGGCATAGGGTTGCTTAAGAATTGGACCTTCATGCATGGTGATGTGATAGAGCCGAGCTTGTAAAATTCCAAATGCTCTTTCAACATCCTTACGAAAAGCCTCTTGCATTGAAGCAAAAAGCTTTTTCTTAGGAGTGTCTGGATGACTTATTGTCTTAACAAAAGTTCCCCAACTTGGGTAAATCCCATCAGCTAAATAATAACATTGATTATATAGCTTACCATCCACGCGGAATTGTACCTGAGGGGCAGATCCATTTACAACAGCATCAAAGACTAGAGAGCTTGCAAGAGTGTTGAGGTCATTGTTGGAACCGGCTGTGCCAAAAAATGCATGCGACATATGAGTATCATAAGAAGCAACTGCTTTGAGCACAATTGTTTGTTTTCTTTTGTACCCGGTGTACTGGCCGGCCCAAGATGTAGGACAGTTTTTCCACTCCCAGTGCATGCAATCAATGGACCCAATCATCCCGGGAAAGCCTCTTTTCGAGGCCTTTTCAAGAAGACGATGCAGATCCCCGGGGTTAGGGGTTCGTAGGTACCAAGAAACATACACACTAATAACTGCCCTACAAATTTGTTTCATGCACAAAAGTGTAGTTGTCTCACTCAAACGACATAACTGATCTAATGAATCCGCCGAGCAACCATTGGCGAGCATAAATATCGCACTAGTGAGTTTTTGATTAGGAGAAAGAGATACCTTGTTTGCTGCATCTACTGTACTTACAAAATAGGGATCGAAAGCCATGACATCTTTCATGATTCGATCAAATAGAGCCGGTTGCATGCGATAACGACGACGGAAGATACGTGCATTGTAGGTGGGATTTGGATTCCAGTAATCATCCATCAACAAACGGTGTCCAGCTTCCCGACCACGGTCTATGTAATCACGACTACTATTGGAGCTTGTTGCAACCAAAGAAGCCATCAAATCCATGCGCATGCGGTCGGAATAAGCTTCTTCATCTTCATCTTCATTAATGGATTTGTAAATTGCGGGAAAAGAACTCATGATGTTTTTGGCCTTGTTGAAAATGGGAGAAGTAAAGATGAGGTGTGTGATTCCAATGTCAAGTGAGGCGATGTATTTATAGTAATATAGTTCTTTGATGTTCACACCAAGTGGAGGATACATCCAAATTAATATGTTTGGACCAAGTGGAGAATAGCATCCAATGTGGTATGGAAGATTACACATGGTGGAAAAGAGAATCCAATGTCATATAATGTGCTATGAAATGACACAAATAATGGAAAAGAGAATCCAATGTGATTTGAAAAGATACAACAAGTTGAGAAGGGAATCCAATGTGTTATGGATAGACACAAAGTTGAGAAGAGAATCCAATGCTCTAATGTGTTGAAAATCACTCAAGAAAAAACGTAAAAAAAATAATGAAATTTATTTTTTTTTACATCGAAATGTGTCTTTTTTATTTTATAATTAATCAGAGAAAAAATTAAAAGGAAAACATTACTTATAATAATTTAATTAATGTTTTACTAAATTGATATGTAAAAAATGTGCAGAGTGTATTTTATTGACGGTGCTGGAATGCAAAGAATAGGAGTCAAAACACTGTTTTCATATCGACGGAGTCCATTTTTGACATTTGGACTCTTGCACCACTCCAAATGGTCTAAGTACCCAAGTATAAATAGACGTGAAAAGAGTGTTAGAAGGAGGCTTTTGGGACTTTTGGACTTGGAAATATTAGAGAGTTATTCTCTTCTCTTTTGGGAGGCTTCGGCCTTTGTTTCTGTTTCTCTCTGTAACCGATCTTCTTCATCAAATAAGAATTCAGTTTGATTTTCTTGTTAATCTACTGTAATTGTTCTGTACTGGTGAGGTCTCTAACAGTAGCAAATATCTATGATTGGACTATGTGACCAACCTTTATCTTTATCCAATGTCAATAATTACGATTAACAATTCCCATGTTATGAGGGTTATAAGAATACTATGATAGACAAGGAGAAATTTGAATTACATTTTGTATAGAATAGTGTTGGCAAGATGAGTAGTGACGATACTGGTCACATTTGGAGTAGAAAAGGCTAAGTTTGTTGTGTCTAGATAGAATAACGGGTGATGACATGAACGAGGCCAAGGGGGATGGTATTAGGGTTGGACTCGGGCCAAGTGGCCCGACCCGAAACCGGCCCGAACCGGCACTGTTCCAGCCCAGCCCGATGGCCCGGTCAGTGACCGGTTCGGGTAGGCCCGAGCCGCTGGGGTTCCGGTCCGGGCTCGGGCCCCTCAAAACGTGAACCGTCCCGGCCGGTCCGGGGCCGGTCCGGGCCATTTTATTTTTTATTTTTTATTTTTTTTGATTTTTTTTTTAAGTTTTTGGGTTTGGCTGGGTATTTTGGGTCATTTGAGATGGTTTGGGATGGTTTGGGGGTGGGGGGGGGGGGGTGGTTAGGGGTTAATTAGGAAAAGCCAAAAAAAAAATTGAACCGAGGCCCGGCCCGGCTCGGACCCGGGGTTACCCGGGCCGGTTCCGGGCCTCCCCTTTCCTAAACCGAGGCCCGGCCGGGCCCGAACCGGCCCCGATCCATGCCTAGATGGTATCATGGTAAGCATGTTGTTGGAGGAGCATATTCGAAGGAAGAATCCCACGTTGACCAAGCACGATGGGACCCATAAATTCAACACTGTGCAAAGATGGCACAATACCTGTAGAGGAGAAAGAATATGCAGAGAAGTCCGAGACTCCGAGTCAAAGAAAACTTCCCTAGCATGGAGAAGAGGTTAAAAGGACTTAAGGGGTGATGTGTTGCTCAAACCAGAAGAACTCTTCAGGCCTGAAGATATGGGTGGACTCGGTTCGGGCCGGGCCCGGTTCGGGCCTTGAACCGGCCAGGACTCGGTTCACCAAAAGGAGGGCCCGGACCCGAACCGGTGGCTCCCGGTTCCGGGCCGGTTCCAGGCCATACCAGGCCGGTTCCGGGCCATACCAGGCCGGTTCCGGGCCGGTTCCGGGCCATACCAGGCCGGTTCCGGGCCGGGCCACCCGGGTCATAATTTTTTTTTTTTTGCTTCTCTTATTTAACCCCCTATCCCTCCCCCTCAACCCCAAACCACCCCAAACCACCTCAAATGGCCCAAAATACCTAATCCAACCCAAAACTTAAAAAAAAAATTCAAAAAAAAAAAAAATAATAATTCCGGCCCGGACCGGGCCCGAACCGGCCGGGCCGGTTCACCAAATGGAGGGCCCAGGCCCGGAACCGGTATCCACCGGGCCGGTTGACCCGAACCGCCGTTGGACCGGGCCACCGGCCCGGGCCGGTTGCTACAGTGGGCGGGCCAGGCCGGTTCCGGGTCGGGCCGCCCGACTCGAGTCCATCCCTACGTGAAGAGGATGGAGAACTAAGAAGGTAGCTCCATGGTGATGGGCACAAGTAGGCATGGCCTCGGTTCGGGCCGCCCGGCCCGGGACCGGCCCGACCCGCTACTGTGCGGGCCCGGCCCGGCCCGGTTATCCGGGTCCGGGTCCGGTTCGGGCCGGAGGCCCGGGGGGTGGGGCGGTTCCGGGCTCGGTTCATGGTTTTGACGGCCCGGCCCGGCCGGTTCGGGCCCGGGTCCGGGCCAAATCTATTTTTTTTTAATTTTTTTCATTTGTTTTGGGCTGTTGGGCTTGGGATATCTGTTTAGGGCGGTTTGGGGGGGGTGGGGGGTGGGGGGGGTGGGGGAAGAAAGGAAAAAAAAAAAATTAAACCGGGTGGCCCGACCGGCCCGGCCCGGCCCGGCCCGGAACCGGACCCGGAACCGGTGGCCACCGGTTCGGGCTCGGGCCCAACAAAACAGACCCGAGGCCCGGCCGGGCCTAGGCCCGAACCGGGCCCGAACCGGCCCGGGTCCATCCATAGGCACAAGGGAGAGTGGGAGTGTCTATGCAAAGAGAACAACCGCCAGAGGGGCCATGCTAAAGGTGCCAGGCTGCACTGTTGTGACAGAGAGAGGGATGACATGTCAGCATCTGAGGAAGAGAATATAGCGCCGCCAATCATGGCGAAAGGAAAGGAATAAAGGCGCAGACTTATTGAGTTTAGAGTTTTGGAAAACTTAAGCCTTCACATTGTATATATACAACTTTTTATTGTTTAAAGTAAGAAACCTAAGCAATTTTTTTGGATCGGGCTATGGATGGACCCGGGCCGGTTCGGGCCCGGTTCGGGCCTAGGCCCGGCCGGGCCTCGGGTCTGTTTTGTTGGGCCCGAGCCCGAACCGGTGGCCACCGGTTCCGGGTCCGGTTCCGGGCCGGGCCGGTCGGGCCACCCGGTTTAATTTTTTTTTTTTTTCCTTTCTTCCCCCACCCCCCCCACCCCCACCCCCCCCAAACCCCCCCAAACCGCCCTAAACAGATAGCCCAAGCCCAACAGCCCAAAACAAATGAAAAAAATTAAAAAAAAAATAGATTTGGCCCGGACCCGGGCCCGAACCGGCCGGGCCGGGCCGTCAAAACCATGAACCGAGCCCGGAACCGCCCCACCCCCGGGCCTCCGGCCCGAACCGGACCCGGACCCGGATAACCGGGCCGGGCCGGGCCCGCACAGTAGCGGGTCGGGCCGGTCCCGGGCCGGGCGGCCCGAACCAAGGCCATGCCTAGATCGGGCGGTCTCGACCGAAAACCGGGACCAGACCGACTCGGGTCCATCCCTAGTGACAACATTAGGGGATCGGAAATTGGCCAGCTGGAATCGGAACTTTACCAGAACTCCCCGACCCGAGTCTACCTCTAGGCTAAAGTAAAAATGGGTCAAACATCATATCTGAATAGCAAATCTAAACATCAAATCTTTACAGCTAATGCATAAGTTGATTGCCAAATAGAGTGAATTGAAAACATCAAATCTTTAGTATGTGAGGTATGTCCTCCATACTCTGTAGTTTGTACTACGGAATTGAATTAAAAAGCATGGAACCTGTGCGTTTTTCATGCGAGTGTTATAAGACCCATATCATATATATCACTGCATTTGGTAGTGGACATGATACTAGCACTATTGAGAAAACTAGCAGCACAAGTTCATGCATAACCAAATACCAACCAACATAATTAACTCAAATCCATGTACCTTTCATTTGAGTAAAAACCAGCATAGTGGGACCATAATATGATAATAAATTAATAATGTACCATAATACTACGAAGTAGAACTTTAAAAACCTTTTCATCAGATTAATTAGTAACTAAAATTATACAAGAGCGATGCTACTCTCACCGCCTGGAGGTTTGCGGACCCCGGCAATGTGATCCCGTGATTGAACCTTCCCATCGGCAAATATGTCGTTTCCACTCATTTCTTTCAGCTTGGCTCTGCTAAGATGCTTTTCCGCAGATACAAGGGGAACATCTCCCTTGAAGATGTCGTTCCCTGTCAACTCTGCAAACTTCTGGTTATGTATTTTCTTTGTTGCTTCCACCACTGGCCCGTCACCAAACATTATACTACTTTGACCTCCAGCAGGCTGTCAAAGAACTCAAATGTTAGCCCATATAATAGCCCTTTCCATTTCATTGGAAGCAGTCTGCCTTGAATGTGGCGGTATTCATTCTCTCAAGGTGGAATGATTAAAGCAGGCAAAAGTTCTTTTGTATAAACAAACTTAGTTATCCTTCTCCGTCCATACAGATATTGCACTTTATTGTTTTAGATCAATAAAATTATAGTTTGAGTTCCTCTTTGTCAACCCCTGTTCCAAAAACTCACAATTCCTCATTACTCCACTTGGTTTTCCATGTCAATTTTTTCTTCCCTTTAATGTTCAAATTTCGGTTCTAGAGAGCTAGCGCCTAGCAGTATACCTAAAATAAAACGGTGAGTTTTGTTTTAACAATCACCGATGAGGTACAAAATGTTCATTTGGAAAGATCAAGCCAGAAATCTGTGAGTTGAGTTGTTCTTTAACAAAGGTTGATGGAGAGACTAAAAAAAGAAAATAACATAATTATGAAAATGAGTAACAAAGCATAATTAAAGGATATGGAGTATAAAACAGAACACAATTTACTCCTTACTTGGAAGGGCTATCAAAACATAAAACTAAGCAAAAAAAGGAGCCAAACCACTCACATTTGAAACTTTGACAGATGTTCGGACATTGCGTGGGGCCGGCTCCGCCATGAATTTGCTTACTTTTGATTCAGTGGAGCGGGAAGCAGTCAACGATAGAGGAAGAGCTTCAGAAGGCGGACCGAAGATATCATTTCCACTAAGTTCCTTACATTTGGCATCCGATAGATGCTTCGTGTTTTTCATATCTGATTCACTCTCAAGAGTTCCACTCAATTCCCGCTGTTTTGCCACCTCTGGTATAGTGGTGGGCTTCTTTGGTGAAATTCTCTCTTCGGTGCTGAATGAAATCTGGCTTATTCCATTTGCAGCTTGCTAATACATGAGATGTATGAAAATTCAGCATTTGCCCACAATGTAGGGTAGGTTAATGTTCTATATGTTGACATAAGTTTTTTTTACTAGGAACATATTTTCTTTTTTTGTCATATGCTTGGCATTTTCTTCTAGAACTTTTGCTTGGCAGCTAAAAATATTTTCCTGAAGGAGAATATTCTCCTTGGTTTTTCAGACTGGTGGAGAATTACTCCCCGTATAGGAAACACGTAGCGATATTTCCAGAAGTTTTAAATTATTACTCTGGTACAACTTTGTAGATCAAATATTATAGTATACACAAAACAACTTATTTTCCTATAAAGCAGTTTCCCTGGAAATATTCTTCTGGATAAAACAGACATAGATCCACCAAGCTAAGCTACGACTTCGCTTTCATGGTTTCATTGTTTTCGCAGGGAGGAAAAAGAAATACCTGAACAATACGGACCGATGTTCTATTGTTTGAATTGCCATTAACAGCTCCATAATCTGGGTCACCATTCTCACTGTCAGCCGAAAATATGTTGCTTCCACTCATCTCCTTCAACTTATACCCTGAACAAGGTTTCCTGAAGATATATACCATAATAATAAACACACTGGCCTTGGGTGACAAACTAAGTAGCACGGAAACACGATCAGGAAATGTGAAATGCGAGTAACAGAAATTCTACGAAGTATAGGAATTGAAATACTCTTGCCATTTATAACAGTATAAAACCCCTACCATTTTGCATTCCATTTTTCTAACTTAACTAATGCTACACCAAAATGTGCAAGTTTGGATTTCATAGTTACAGAATACTACCACTACCACTAGCCACCACCACCACCACCACTAATAATAATAATAATAATAATAGTAATAATAACAACAACAACAACAACAATAATAATAATACAATAGTAATATCATAAACACAAAGTTCACATACAAACAGAATCCAATCGAACCATTCTTAGACCTAATGCAACATGTCCTTGAAAATGTTATGTTAGGCAGAAAGATTTCCACCGCAAAGAAGATGCTTTAGTTGTTTGCTTCCCATGCAGGACATCAACTAAATACCATCAACAACAAAATGAAATTGGTCTCAAAGAAGATAAAGTGGTTGTGGTTAGTGGTAGAAATTGGATTCAGCAAACTACTTCTGAAGACTGTAATGTAGAAACTTAATAACATCTCAAGATCTCAACTGTTAAACTTTTTGCCATGAAGATAAAAAAAAGATTGAAGCCTGCACTTGTTTTAAAGACATTGAAAATAAAAAGGGAAAACAAACCCAAAATGTTAAAATAATTTTGATTCACCGTAATAGAAATATACAAGGTCCAGATAAAGAAAATCTTCTCTTTGTGAATAACATACAATCTAAGGTAGAAATACAGTAAATTACAGCAACTTTATTAAACCGAATATGTAACTCCTACATCTCATTAATTGCAATCATGGATGAGCTTATCAAGTAAATAGTTAAAAAGGAAAAAAGGAAATGAGATTCTTCAAAGATGTGCTAACAGATCTATCACATACTGAGGTTTTCTAAGAGCTACTAATTATGTGGGGGGGGGGGCATGAATGCTTAAGAACTATCCGAACTTAACACACAACAGTACACATGCATCACAGGGTAATGTCGAAACCAAAAATCGCAAGGTAAAGAAGAATGTAGAAACCAAATACATACCTGGAAAAAAATGAAGTGAAACTAAATAATGCAATATTAAATCGGATGTTTTTCAATTAACTCAAATCGGAGAAATTTACCGTTTGTTCAAGCTCTGAGCTTCCTCATCAGTGACCTGACCTCCAAATATAACCTTACCGACTCCATCAGACGGCTAACATTTATAAAATAAGCAAAACCTCAAGTCAGACAGTTGGTGGGGAGGAAAAACATAGCAACGAAATAACGGGAGGAAGCAAGTGCCTGATGAGAGGTACGGGAAGCGGACCGAGAGGCGCTGCCGGGGGCAAGGAAGGAAGAATCGGATGCTGGGACCTCGGACCAGGTGAGAAGATCCGCTGTGGAAGTGTGTGGCTTCCGAACAGGCGTCGCTGCCATTGCCTTGCTTTGAGCTGCGAAGAACGGAGTGGGTAGATAAGAAAGATCACTTTATTATTTCAAAAACTTAAACCCCACTTCTAGTCTAGTCTTTTATCTCTCTCTGTTGAAGCGGAAATTTGAAACCCCGTCTTCCTTGGACGGACGCTCAACAAACGGGGAAAACGGTAGAAAATGTTCATTGGCCCTTTATTTTTATTTTAAGAGAAAAATTGACATTAATAATCCCACATTAAATTGACATTAATAAGAAAAAGAAGATGATACCGTTTAGATTGAAATGTGTTAACACTGGGAGCACCGTTAAAGTGAAATATAGTGGGTGGGCAAATATTATCAAAGTGAATTGTGTGTTTATTTGGTCTATTTAAAACCTAAATGATCAATATGAAATTGGTGAATAAGTTTAATGTCCTTTTTGGGCCTTCTCCCTTCTCTCTTCCGTCAACTTGTGACCGGCTAAAAAAAGTAAACATTTTATCGCCAACCCACAGACCAAGTTGGAATATCTTCGACCAATACCCGTCTATGGAGTAATAAGAAAATTTGAAAGTTTCAGAATTGGAAGATGGACAGAGAACGACGAAGTTCACGACAGATTTCTACTGGTGCAGCCACTACGTTGATAATAGGTAAATTTTTGAATCCATACTCTCTAAAAATCATTTCTTGATATCCCATTAAATCTGAATCGTATGGCTTGTTGTGCCGCAGTATGTATATTTTATACGATTAAATATTGTGAAAGTTGAGCTAGTTTCCTTAATCATTTAAGGGAAATTTACTAAAATATGACTAAAACTTAATGAGTTTCTAAATATATGACCTAACTAGTTTTTAGACTTATCTATGACCGAAAATCCAAAAAAAAAAAAAATCTCGTTTCTATTTAAAGGTTGAATGACCAAATTACTCTTATTTAAAATATGTGCATTTTGCACTAATTTCGTCCAATTAAAATTACTGCACTTTATATTATCGTTAATGCACGACATTAATGCACGACTTTACTGCACATCCGGTAATAATCACTGCACTTCCGCCTAAATTAATTCTCTGCTCATTTACTTGAGGAATGTATTTTTAGTTTTTATTTATTGTTTTATAGATTTAATAATTTTATTATTTTATGTTGAATTAAGTATATTGCATTTTATGATGATATTAATTCTTTGTGTTACTGCAATACTAATCATAATCACTGCACACCAATCTTTCTTGATGCATTCATTCACTGCCATGTACAATGTATATATAATATATTACCATATTCTTTGTCATATTCAACAATTATTGCCAGTTCTATGCCAATGTTCAATGCCTATGTTTCATGCCCAAAAATCATAAATTTACTCACCATAATCAACAATATTTATTATCATTTTTACTGCCTATATTTAGTGCACATATTCACTGCCCATGAAAAATGTGATTGTAGTGTAGCATGTAAATCTGTAAATGAGAGGTAAATTCATTCCAAAATGGCTAAAATAGATACGAAGGCATTCATTATAGCTAATACTCTGTATGTAATTGCAATTTGGCCACTCACAAAAAGTGAAGAAAAGAAACCCCAAAACAGATAAAAGTACTCCGTAAAAAATTTGAGCGACAACCTTAGGCCTTAGATCTAATCCCTCGTATCTCTCATTGCGTATCACAAACAGAGCGGAGAGTGCTCACTCTTGAACGCTATCAACGAATCTCTCCACCTCTAGCCTCACACTTCTTTTTCCCGTTCGAATTCGAAATCAATTTATCTATTGCGGATGTCAAACGGTGGCTGAACGGTTGGACGATGGGACAGATCGAAGGAAATCGTGGCCATGAGAAATCGATCCCCAAATCTGCCAGAACCGCCGGAATCAAAGCCTCCTCATCCTAATCTTGTTGATATGGATGAAGATGAGAAAGAGGTTGGATGAAAGAGGCAGACGGTAGCTGGGCGGAGATGGTAGGCGGCTGAGCGGCGATGGTAGACGGCTGGACAGAGGGGCAGGGGAGACCGTACGGCAAGTGGGCTACAACTAGGGTGGGAGAATGTTAGCTTTTATAATGATTAGCTAAGGGCATATTAGTCCATATAAAATATTTAAGTAATTATTTATTAATATATTAATTAAATATTACGAATTTTGATATTATTTTGGGAAAAAAACTCATCATTATGGATTATGCACTACGTCCTCGGCTTATACCAAGAACCATCATGGTTCAACATATCAGCCAATCATGGCTACTCAATACCAGAATTCCACATTGCTCTTTCATGCACAAAATGCTCAAGGAAGCACGTTCATCTCACCCACAAAGTGCAAAGGGATGCTTCCACGCATGGGTCTTACTTTGTGTTGAGGTTTAGTCTCGTAGATCCGAAAGCCCAACACACGTTTTGGATATTAAGGACGTTTGTCTTGGTTAAAAGGTGTATAAAATATAAAACAGTGAATTATAACTGAACTCAGAAGCTAACTTATATTACGTAATTCTGTGATTACAAAGAAACTACCCGAACGGTCTGTCGGTATGAGTTTAAATACAAGAACAAGAGAGATGATTTTATTGTTAAGCTCTGAGTATTAAATTGCTAACCGTTTACAATGTATTAAACGTAGGTATTTATACTAGAAGGGGGTAGGTGAGATGAACATGTGGCCGAACCAGGTAGGCTATTACATCTGCCATGAGTGCACCCATGCCTCTACTTGCTACCGCCATACTTTAGTATTAACTGCAGTTTGCCACTTGCTGATCCCCCGGTCGGGTACCCCGTTCGGAGTGCGGGACCCCTTTGTGGGTGTTTTGATGTCAGTCCCCTGTTAATTAGTTCAAGTGGATAATTCTAACCGAATGCTGTTCAGGTATCCCCTGTTCAGCACGTCTTGGACCTCTCTGATTGCGTTGGGCTTCCTGTTTGCCCTGGGCCTTCTTTATGCTTTGGGTCGGGCGTATTGGGCTTGGGCCCAATACCCTAACACAAGTCCCCCACTTCCTATGTCTCGAACAGTAGTGAGTGCATAAGGAAGTAGAAGAACTTTGCCCGAACGCTGCTCGGGTATGTAGCGGACGAGATTTCGCCAGTTCCCGAGGCATAATCTTGAAGGTTTTATGCGGCTGCCGTTTCAATTTCCCGATAACCGTCATGATTACTTGTTGGTGTTTCTCCGCGTGACACGTGTCTCTGTAATCATTCTTGGCGATGTGTCCTCTCCTAATTGGTTGATGAACCGGCATGTCAGGTTTATAAATAAGGCCTTCGTGCTTTGGTTCTGGGTTTCCAAAATTTTCATCCTTCGTGTCGCAGCTCTGTCTTCTCTCTAGAGCTTAGTTCTTGGTAGTGTTCAAGTAACCTTCGCTCCTTGGCTTTTTCTCCCTTCTTGTTCGGTAGATATGTCGCGTCAACCATCCCCCTTCAATCATTCTGTTCCTGAGGTGATCCCTCATGAGGAGGTCCAAGATGACGCTGTAGAGAATGTGGAAAACTCCGGCCATGTTTCCAGCGACGCCTCCTCCTCCAGTACTTACTCGTCACAAGCTTGATCTAACCCTAATCCGGCTACGACAACAGAAGCTCATAGGCCCAAATAGGGCCCAAATCCCAGCTTTGATTCCTGACCCGATGGACTTCCGCCTTCAAGCTGGGCTTCACCCAATGTGTCATTTCCCCGGGATGGTGGTAGTCCATTTGGACTCCGTGAAAGCCGGGCTTAGATTCCCGTTTCACCCTTTTTTCGTTTCTTTATTGAATTTTTATGGAGTGGTGCCGACCCAAATTATGCCGAATTCCTATTGGGCAGTGGCTGGTTTTATATGCCGCTGCGTGGTTGTCAAGGTGACGCCCACCTTATATTTGTTCCACTATTTTTTCTCGGTGATTCCCCACCAGGCCCACGGGTATTTAGTTGTAAGTGCCCGATCGGGCCATATTCTATTCTCCGACGCCCCCTCCTCAATTAAGGGATGGAAAGACCGGTTCTTCTTCATCTCTGTCTCGAACGGTTTGATTCCGAGGAAATGGAATGCCTTCCCGCCGAAGTCTCCAGAGCTATTCATCTCCAAGGAACTCAGCAAAGACGTCCTCGCTGTGGAGACCGGTGGTTGCTACAAAATCAGGGCCTACCTGACCCCCAATCAGCTTATAAAGGTCGGGATAGGTACTGCCCGTATTCCTGGATTTACTTGATCGAACCCAAGTGCCATGGCCCGAGCGGTCCTTCCCGTGCGAGAAACGCTTTGTTTTGTTTCACACACGCTGAAGCCGCTCGATACTAACATTTTCCTTTGTTATTTTCAGCTCTTGATCCAGATGCAAGCCCGGACCCCGAAGGAGCCAACCACCCTCAAGAAGTCATGGATGACAGTAGGCTATTTTCTGTGGGAGGTGGCGATGATGGGGCGCAAGAGAGGCGTGATAATGAACAGAGGAAGAAGCGGAAGAGGTCGAAGAAGACCGTTCAGGCAGGATCTTCTGAGGCCGTTTCGCAAGGTATGGAACAATCCCAGCCTGTTCAGGATGTCCCATCTCAGTCCGTTCAGGACGTTCAGCCCGTCCATCTAGTCGCCTCCGAACAACCTAACATGGCTAACATGCTCATGGACAACCTGTTCGGTCCCGAGCAGTTACAGGAGTTCCCCGGGCACTTTAGCTCTGTTCCGGGTTCCAGTGCAAAAGCCCACCAGGCTGACCTGGTGGGGCGGATCGAGCGGATTTCTTTGGAAGATCCCGCTCATGAAATTCTAGAGCGCAGTGGAGCGATGGCGTCCCGGATTTGGTCCACTGCTGCTTTCTTTAATGGCCTCCCGCTCCCTCAGCTTCCAGTTGAGCAGTCGGAGGAGTGACTTGCCTTGACTGTCCTCAAGGTATTTTCTTTTCATGTGCTTTCCATTTGTGTAATGTTTCTTAAATCGTGTGCTGAGTTTTTGACTATTCTTCAACGCTCCAGATGGGGCTGTACAGCCTGCAAGTGCGAGAGGCCCAGCTAGCTAAGGAACGTGAGCTTATCGTGGCCCAAGAAAATGCTGAGCAGGCCGTCTCTAAGGCTGTCCAGGCGGCCGAGTTTGAACGCCTCTCTTTTGTTGAGGAGCGGAAGAAGCTCAAGGCCGGGCTGGGGGAGCTTCGTGTTCAGGTGGCTACCCTCCAGGCGAAGATTGCGGCTGCTGAGGCCGCACAAATCAAATTCAACGAGCATCCTTCACAGATCCAGGACGGCCCTCCTGAGGTGACTGTGGATCTTTCCTCCGTTCGGGAAGGTTTCAAGACTTCGGAGGAGTTTGCAGCGCTGAAGGAGCAGTATGCCCTTGAGCAGCTTCCTGCCGTTTTTGGGCGGCACCTTGGGAAATTGTGTGGCGAGGCACGCCAGAAGGAGAGGGTCCGGATGCTCGATCAGGATCCCATAGCCAAAGAGTGGGATGAAACCCTTGCCCAGGAGGTTTACTCTGCCGGATGCCAACACATGTTGCAGCCTATTCTTCCCCTTCTTGAGAAGCTCTTAGGTCGAGCAGTGCATCCCTCAGACTTCCTTCACCTGGCTGCCAATCACCTTAATGCTCTAAAGGCCCAGCTAGGCAAGTGCAGGCGAGCTTTGGGGATGGAGTCTAACCAGGTTGCTGATGAGGAGGCTGAAGGTGATGATGATGGTGATGATGACGATGATGAGGATGAAGATGGCCCCGAACAGTAGAATATATTTGGCCCTTTATCTGTACTTCCCTTTTTACCTTCATGCAAATTTTTGTAATTTCCGACCAGTAGAGCCGATGAATACAAGTGGAATTTTTTACCTATCAACTTCATTTGTAGTTCTTTTCTAACTTTTTTGCCTGTGGACTTAGTCATTTTCGTGATTTCTATGTGCTCGATCGATGTATTCTGGCTCAAATAATTGTAGGGTTACCTGTTCAGGACCCCCATCTTGGTAATTCACAGTTACTCTTGTAAAGGTTAGGTCTAATCCCAGCTTTTAGGATTTAGCCGTTTCCCTGGTTTTTTCACTCCGTTCGGGAGTGTATCCTCTAGCCATTGGGTTTTAAGCAAGCTTCACGGATATAAGAAAACCGTTCGGGCAGATCTACCCTTACCCAGGCGCTCTTCTTAGGACAGTCGTTTTTGAACCCTGGTGCCTGTTCGGCCTTCGGACATGATAGAGGTCTTGAGACAAGTACTCGGGGAACACCTTACTACCCGTTCGGGTAAGGAACTAGCAGTCACTAAGCATGTATACAGAGTCTATTCGTTCTCCTAGAAATCTCGATCGTTTGGGATATCCTTATGATGCCGATCAGGTATCTTTACCCTTGGTTGTGGTCGATCTACAACCTGTGTATTTATTTTGAATAGTTTTGGGGTTTACTAGTTTCTTTGCTTTGTTTCCCGTTCAGTGCCTTTGACCGTTTCATTTCTTGCTTGCTACCGATCTTTGGTTTGGATGACCGTTCGGGTATCTCTGTTGCTGGTGATGCCTTAATTGCCCTCAACCGTTTTGTGCCACGTGTTAGCCATCAATTTGGGCTCTTGGCGGCATTTTGGATATTAAGGACGTTTAGTCCCGTAGATCCGAAAGCCCAACACACGCTTTGGATATTAAGGACGTTTGTCTTGGTTAAAAGGTGTATAAAATATAAAATAGTGAATTATAACTGAACTCAGAAGCTAACTTGTATTACGTAATTCTGTGATTACAAAGAAACTACCCGAACGGTCTGTCGGTATGAGTTCAAATACAAGAACAAGAGAGATGATTTTATTGCTAAGCTCTGAGTATTAAATTGCTAACCGTTTACAATGTATTAAAAGCAGGTATTTATACTAGAAGGGGGGGTAGGTGAGATGGACATGTGGCCGAACCAGGTAGGTTGTTACCTCTGCCTGCCACGAGTGCACTCATGCCTCTACTTGCTACCGCCATACTTTAGCGTTCACTGCAGTTTGCCACTTGCTGATCCCCCGGTCGGGTACCCCGTTCGGAGTGCGGGACCCCTTTGTGGGTGTTTTGATGTCAGTTCCCTGTTAATTAGTTCAAGTGGATAATTCTACTCGAATGTTGTTCAGGTATCCCCTGTTCAGGACGTCTTGGACCTCTCTGATTGCGTTGGGCTTCCTGTTTGCCCTGGGCCTTCTTTATGCTTTGGGTCGGGCATATTGGGCTTGAGCCCAATACCCCAACACTTTGTATTAAGTGTTTGATGAAATGCCACACTCATGTCATTTAGAGCTTTGTAGAAACTAAAACCAGATCTTGAGTAATAGTGAAGTCTGTTTTATTTAACTTGACCCACTTACCATGTGATGATAAATTTTTCAAGAAGTAAATTTAGTTTGTAATGAGGTTCTTACTAATATTGAAAGTGTTTTACAAGTGTCATTGAAAAAGCTAAGTGATTGTGAAAGGTAATGCTAAATCTGTTTTTCTTCTTGTGTAGATGGCTGCAATAGATCGAGTAACCTTGATATTCTGGCATGGAGGGTTGTTTATGAAGAAAAATGATAAATTACTTTATTTGAATGGTGAGTGTAAGTCTTTTGAAGTTGATCCTGATGAACTGTGTTGGTTTTGGTTGGAGGAGTTGGCAAAGACGTGTGGAAGTTACCCAAGCATTGAAGAAATATATTATTTGGTTCGTGGTCTCCCCTTGGATAACAGGTTAAGGAGAGTATATAATGATAGATAGGTACTACATGTTACGATTTAAACACACACAATACGAAGAATGATAAGAAAGAACACAAGAGTTTGGTAACTCAGTTCGCCAAGAATGACTACGTCTGGGGGCGCTACCAAGTCAGGATGTTACTATTATTTTCTGATAATGATTACATTGAGAGAGCGGGTATTAAAAGAGAGTATAACCCTAACCCCAGTAGTTGGATCGGTGGAATGGGCTTGGTTATACAGTCTCTAACACCTTACAATCTCCCACCTTGTGACTGACTTCTCATGTAACCTTCTCTTCTTCAAATCTTCCCCTCTTAATGTGGTAGCGCCAGGCCTTCATATTCAAGTACAAAGCCATAGCTTCAATTTCTCTAAGGTTACAACCTTAGTAAACATGTCTCCTGGATTCTCACTCCCACGAATCTTCACAAGTTGTAATGTCTCTATCTCCAGAAGATGACGGATGTAGTGATACTTCAACCGAATGTGTTTGGTTCTCTTGTGAAATGCTGAGTTGTTTGCCAAGAAGATATCACTCTGACTGTCACTGTAAAGTATGATATTCTTGTACTCCTTTCCAAGTTCCCCAAGTAAATTCTGAAGCAATTCCATCTCCTTGCTTGCCTCGGTTATAGTCACATATTCAACTTCAGTGGTAGATAATGCGACAAGCTTCTGCAACTGCAAAATCCAGGAGACCGTTGTACCACCAAATGCAAAAACATAGCCGGTGGTGCTCCTCGATCCATCTGAGTCATTTGATGCCAAGTCTGCATCAACATGACCTAGCAACTCCACATTCTTTCCATCAAAACACAAGGCATTAGAAACAATACCTTTCAAATACCTCAAGATCCACTTCACAGCTTCCCAATGTTGTTTCCCTGGATCTCCCATGAATCTGCTCACTACTCCCACCGCATGTGCAATGTCTGGCCTCGTGCACACCATAGGGTACATAATACTGCCAATTGCCGAGGCATATGAGATATTCTGCATTTGAGCACGCTCCTCCTTGTTCTTTGACGAGTCTTCCTTGCTAAGCTTGAAGTAACTACCCAATGGTACACTTGCTGGCTTTGCATCTTGCATTTTGAATCTCTCCAAGACTTTCTGAATGTATTCGGCTTGTGAAAGAAACAGTTTGCCTGCTGCCTCATCTCTCTCAATTCGCATGCCCAAAATCTATTTCGCCTCTCCAAGATCTTACGTGAAAAAACGTTCTGACAATTGATTCTTTAACTTCTCAATTTCCTTTGAACTAGCTCCTGCAATTAACATATCATCAACATATAACAACAAGATAAGCTAACATTTGTCAGCCCTCTTGTAGTAGCAACAATTGTCGGTGTGGCATCTCAAGAAATTTATTTCCTGCATGAAACCTGATGGTCCCGGATAGAGGTAAAAGTTTAGAGGAAGGAGGGGGTGAATAGACTTTTAAAGCTTTCACAACCTTAAAAAAAATTCCCTTCTAGATAAGATGATCTATAATCTTTTGGGAGATTATAGATGCATAGCGGAAGTCTTAACCTCTATATATACAGTGTATGACAACTTTCTAATAATAGTAAGTTTCCTTTAGGAAAGGAAAATGAACAAATGAGTTTGTAAGATTATCAGAAAGGTTAAGTAAGGAGAGCAGTTGACTGGACAAGGGAGTAGGCAGTAGGAAGCTGCTAACTTAGCTGCTCAGGAATATTGAAAGTATTCGAAAAACTGATTTTGGAATCTTACTGAGAATAATAAGAGCTTTCTGAAAATGTATTGAGCTGTGTTGAAGTTGAAGGTTTTGGTGAGCAGTGAATTGAGCAGTAGTGTAACACTGTCCCCAAATGTATTTACTTTTACGTAAATGATGTAAGGAACCTTATGGAATGATTGATGAATTTACGAAGTTGTAAGTTTTTATATTTCTTTCGCGTGAATAGTAAATTGCACGTGGGACCCACATCGGGAGCGGGGACCACCCAACATTCCCGAGACCACATATTTTATTCATCTTGGTCAAGATAATATTTATATGGTGGTGGATATTTTACTTGGGTCGTGGAAAGGCCCTGTGTTGGCCGATTGGGCAAAAGAGGCCCAAATACCGGTATCGACAATTTAACAGATAACAGCCCGGAAATGATTTTCGGAGACTTCTAAATTAATGTTTTGGAATATATATTATTTCAAGAGGCCATTACGATTTGGAACACACAGTATATTTTATTCGACCCGATAAAATAAAATATATTTTAAACAGTCCGAAAAATACAACTTTTGGGACCGATTGTACACACCGGGACACAAAGGGATGACCTCCCACATGAGTGGGGGCCACCCCACGTTTTTATGTGCTGAACACATCAAGGGAGGGCTGGGTTGACAAAGGGAAATGGGGAGGAGATGCATTTGGCATCAAATGTACAATTGGGAGGACCCATCCCAACATTATTTTGAGAGAAAAGCCAAAGAGGCTATCTCCTCACTCACCCACCCCATCATTTTCGGCCAGCCTCCTCCCAGCAAGAGCAAGAGTGATTCCCAGCCTCCCTCCTCCATTGTTGAAGAGAACTCATCAAGGAAGAATCACCCAAAAAGGAGCTAAAGTGCTAAAAGTGTGAAATAATTAAGGTAATGACCTTATTATAACTTCTTCTTTATTTTTCTTCTACCATATGAGATATATATCATGTGAAGAATCCTTAAGAGGGTTCTACATGTTATAAGTATGGATGTATGGGTTGAAAGGTGGTTCCACGTCCAAGAACGGACTTAGGAGCCAAAACGACCGGTTCACCGGAAAATAACCTTTTAGAGGTTATTTGTATTAATATGGGTTTTATGGTTATAAAACCTTGTTAGGAACTTGTAGAGGGTATTTCAAGTGATTTCACAAAGTTGGAAAAGTCGCCGGAGTTGTCGCCGGAGTTGACCAAAAGTCGCCGGAGTTTCACCGGAGTTCAACCAAGAAGGGTAGAACTTCATAACGCTAGTTTCAAGGTGAGTGGACGGCTTAATATCTTATAACTTTTGGGTTAATTATGAGATTACCTAAATAAATGTTATATGAGTTCATAATGATGTTTAAAAGATATTTAAACATGTGATTAGCCAATAGGGTTAAGTTTGTATGAAAGAAATTAATTGTTGGTGCATGGAATATGATATGAAGAATTATATGAAATGCATATTTGTTTGAAGTGTATTAGAAGCACAAATGAATATTATTAACTTAATTATATGATGATTAAGTTGATACATACAAGGCATGAAATGGCGGTCAACGAAAACGTTGACCGATGGACAAAGGACTTAATTAATACCGGTTGGTATTAATTATTTATAAATCTATATAAATGCATGGTTTTGCATGGATTGTGATGCATAAGCTTTATGTA